AAATAAATCTTAGTCCTGCATGCTCACTTTAATATTCCCGTTATCTGTTCAAATTTATGGATTGTCTAAAAATCTGAAAACATCATACATATTTTAAATTTTAAACGAAAACATGAAATATACATTAAATGCAAACAATGTTTTTAAATATGATTTTGATTTAGGTCATCAAATCAGTGTCAGAGGCTGCCTGTAGTGTTTTTAAATGTCCAGCAGGTGTCAATATTCAGTGACACAGTATCGACAAGTATCAATACAGTTTAGCAATCTGTCGAAACGCATCATGACGCCTCATGAACCCATCACTACCCAAAACACAAAAATACTGAGAACCAAAAGAACAGGAAACATCAGGGAAAACTCCCCTGGAGAACCAGAGATGAGGAAGAAACTAACAATCAACAAGGAACCAGCACTGAAGAACTGCACAGGGAGACAGAACAAAGACAGGGGTAATTGGATGATAGGGAGCAGGTGTGGATAGAAGAGACTAGAAAGGAGCCGGGGTAAAGGAGACAAGCGCAAGGGGGCAACAGAGAGCAACCAAACACCACTTAAACATACATGAAATGGAAAATAAACGAAAGATCAACAAAACAGCATAACTGATAACTGAAAAACTAAAATTTCCAAAAGTTCCAAAAGGGGAGAACCATAACAGCAGAAATCAATCTTCTAGGCTGGTTACAAATCATGGCTTCTTTTGTGTTATTAAACAACTCAATAAATGTTACATGTCATAATGTCATAATGGTCCAAAGAACAAAACAATGTGAAAAGAAGTATGTTCATGAGACAAAGTCTAAAGATAAAGAAGTTTGGTGGATTTATTTTGTTCACCTGGTCGGAAAGTTAAACCAGTTATGGAAAGGCTAAATGAAATATAACTAGTGTGGTTTTAAAGAGGATGGTTAGCCGCTAATGATGTTAAAGTAACTTCAGTTCTTCTTATGGGCTCCAAGATGAATATTGATATTTTTAAATTTACCGTTTTCAGTCTTCTACATGAAGGAGCACCAGCAGATTTTGTTTGTGAAACCTTTAGATTAGTTGTGACAACAGGAAGTGGGAATTCGAACGTTTCTTCAAAATGTTGCTCACTCCTCATCTGTTCTTCTGAGCCCGATGACGTTTCCTTTCATCTGATGAGCTGGATCTAATCTTCCAACCCTGTCATGGGATAGAAATGTAATGCAAACAGTGTCACTCCCATTGAAACATCTCTTGTTAAAAAAGAACTGCTGCATCTTTTGTTCTTTACCTTTTAATTCGTTTTTCAAAAGATTTGATGCTGAACCAACTTTGCTGCACTGAAAAATGAAACAGGATGTCCAGCAAAGGACCCAAAGCGAGGAACAGATCACCCAGCAGTGCCCGTCAATTATGGAACACCTTCTGCTACATCATTCCTACTGCCCACATTACTTTAAACTAGGGATGCACGATATTGGGATTTTGGCCGATATCCGATATGCCGATATTTTAAAACTCATGTAGCCAATAACCGATATCGATACCGATGTTAAAGCTGGACAAAAATAAGTAGTCATTGAAAATAGCAGTTTTGTTATCCATTTCTGACACTTTGAAAAATAATATACTCAAATATATTTTCATATGCTGATATCAAATAGATTTTTAAAAACGCGGTATCGATCTATTTTACTTTCAAAATCTCATGAAATTTCATCGTTCTGTTACAAACTCTCGTGATATTTTGCAAATTCTTGTGAGATTTTGTTAGTAAAATAGATCGATACCGCGTCAATATATCAACATATAAAAATATGGCAAAATTTCGTGAATTTTTGGGGGATTTCGTAGCATAACGATGACATATAGCAATATTTCATTAGTAAAAGAGATTGATATGGTGTTTTTAAATGGCAATATATCAGCATATGAAGATATTTTAATGTATCAATATTTTTTCCCTCGTCTTTAGAAGTTTTTAAGTATGTAAAAAAAAGAAGTTTTTGAGGAAGAAGAAGAAGTAGTATTTTTTTGTTTTGTTTTTAGACTTTAGAAACTCAGAAGCTGATAAAAAATCGGGTTAAATATCGGTAGGGTGGCCGATGTCCGATATTCAGTTTTAAGGCTGATACAGGCCGATACCGATAGGGGGCCGATTATATCGTGCATCCCTACTTTAAACCATCATTATGTATGTTAATGCAGAAGGAAACAAATATCTACTTATTCATTGCTTAAAAAGTATTTAGAAGAGGGGCACATTTCCTTGGGGTGAGAGACCAGTAAATGTGTTAGTGCTGCAGGTCAATGCTAAACTGGACAAACTGGTTTCTCAGGTTGACTTTTTTGTCTTTTTTCCATGTTTTTTAGACATTAACTGCACATTCTGTGATGCCTACTTTTTTATATTTTTCCTCACTGTATAAATACCTTTACAAAGAGCAGTCATGTAAGCTAATGTGTTATAGAGTAGCAGTTTTCTGCCCTCTGCAGAGTATCAAACATGTAATCCTGGATTAGACTGCTATCATCTCTAGCTTAGAGGAGCAGGATTGGTCTTCTGTGGTAAAGTATGCTGCATAACAAAGCTGGAAAGAACAACCAGGTCGGGCCACACAGCCACCTTCAATAAAATAGACTTTTATATGGTCTAACAGAGCTTTCAATGCTGAGGAGCCTTTTGATGTAAAATATCCATTAGGCCAAGAGTTTGTAACTAGATACTGAATGAACTTCCTGTGGTTCATTCCAGGGTTTGTGAGGGTTTAGGTTGTTTTCTAAGGCTGTACCTCACGGTTGTCTAAATGTTAAACCTGTTCTCTACAGAAAAGGGAGTTTTTTGTTGTTTGGTTGTTTTTGTTGTTTTGTGGTTCTAATTTAAATATTTTATTTTAAATTACAAAAGATTTCACCTTTTAAAGGATGTAAGAATCCCAGACAGGTCTTTGTCAAGGGTAATAAAGCAGCTTGGCAGGTTGTGTTTTAAAGTCTGAAGAAAAGTTTCTGTCGAAGCTCTGAGAGCACAGAAACGTGCTCCAACAGAAGTGGAAGTTATTAATTCTGTGTCACTAAAAGTTAACCTAATGGAGAAGCTCACCTCCTTCATAGGACTGAAATAAATTAATGTCTAAAGCTTATCTGCCTTGTCATCCCATCCCAACTAATGCTTTGTTGTTTCTCACTGACACACACACACGTGTTCAGGTCTTTCTAAAAGAATATTATGACCAACTTAAACAAATGAAGCACTGCAGGACAAGTAATAATGCTAAATGGCCTGTACTTTATAGAGCTTTCTTTAACTCGGAAGCCTTGACCAAAGCGTTTTGCTCTATATTCAGTCATTCACCCATTCACAAACATATATAATTCTAGATACAAGTCCATTATCTGAGGCCATGAGAATATCATTAGTGACTTTCACCAGAGCTGTTTCAATGCTATGATGAGCTCTAAAGCCAGACTGAAACTCTTCAAAAAGTTCATTATGGTGGAAGTGATCACACACTTGTTTGGCAACTATTGTCTCAAGAATTTTAGATCAGAAAGGAAGATTGGATATAGGTCTATAATTAACCAAGTCATCTGGGTCAAAAGATGTTTTCTTAAGCAGAGGTTTAATTACATCAACCTTAAAAGCCTTTGGTACATATCCCTGTAACAGGGAGAGATTCATAATAATAATAATAATAATAAATAGTTATAATAAAGTTTAACTTTATTGATCTCACATTGGATAAATTTACCTCTGCATTTATTTTATCCCTTTGGGGAGCAGTGGGCTGCCATCACTGGGTTAAACCTTTTTTCCGAGACGCATCTAAAATGAAGGAGGAGATCAAAGGGAATACTTCCTTAACTAAACTGGTTGGAACTGGATCTAACATAGAAGTTGCAGGCTTAGATGAAGACAATAGTTTTGCTAACTGAAAGTTCGACTGGATCAAAGCAGTCTAAACCCGGTTCAGATTTTATGACTACCTCATGCTGCCTCACCCTCCAGAGACAAACCAATCATAGTTAGAGGAGTGCTAATGATCTTATTTTTAATTATATCAATCTTATTAATAAAGAATCCCACAAATTCATTACTGTTAAGTGCAGGTGGGATGGACGGTTCAACAGAGCTATGGCTCTGGGTGAGTTTGGCAACTGTATTAAAAGATATCTAGGATTATTCTTCTCTATTAATAAAGAGAAATATGCTGTACTTCTTTTACAGGATAATTTCAATAAGCTGTAAACTGTTTTCACATCTACATTGAGCCCACATAATCTGGAAAGAGTGTCATTTTCCCTCCTGTTTCCTCGGGTTATGCTTCAAACTATGCAACTCTAAGTTCAACTGGGGAGTCAGTTTTTTATTAACAAATTCCTTTTTCAAAGGGGCTACATTGTCTAAGTCAGTGTGGAGAGAAGAAGTAAGCCCACCAACAACAGTGTCACTTTGTGAAGATGAAAACATTTAATGAGCGCTCTCTTCAGTAATGTTCAGTGATATGGAGGAGATAAAACAGGGGAAGATACTCTTTAAAATATATTTCTACCTATCTGATAATGATCTGGTAAAGTGAAACCTTCTTCTGAAGGTTAATAAAAGGGTGTGAGGAAATGCTGCTATTTATTTACAATAATTGAGATAAGTCAGCGCAAGGTCCAAAGTATGAAGAAGAGAATTCGCTGGACTATGCACATTCTGAACAAAGCTAATATCTTCTAAGATTCTATGATTATAAGCTACATTTAAGCTATCCCCTTCAATGTTAGCATGGATGTTAAAATCTCCCACTATGATGACCCTGTCAGTATTCAACACCAAATCAAATAAGAACTCTAAAAACTCATCTAAAAGTTAAGAAAAGTACCTAGCGGATGATACAAAGTCAAAAAAAGAAGAGGTTTTGTTGCTGTAGAATCTGGATGGGGTCAACTAAGGGTCAGACGTTTTAAAGAATTGTAACTATTCCCTTGCTTTGAACTAATCATTAATGTTTTTGTAATGGTGTATTGTTCTCTTCTGCTTACAGCTGGAGGATATACATACAGAAATCAGCGCAAGTTCTCTGAAGACATTGACTGGTCATATGCGGGTAAGTCCCAGAAGAACAGTCTGATTACACTTTTGAGGTAAAGCTGATGTTTTTGTTGGTGTGTTTGCTGCTGTGCAAATGATCCAGAGAAGATGCCTGCAGCTCTGCTCATGGTCAGGTCACTCAGGCCTACATATCAAGATCCTGGAAACTATGGCTGATCCATAAGCCGGGCATACACCGCAAGTTTTTGCCCTTTTGGTGCTGATTCTCTAAAAGTGTGACAATTTTTTGATCGGGCTGAGCTTCAGCCTCATGGTGTGTCCTGCATCGTGTAGTATACAGAGGGTAACGAGGCTTAAGTATTTGCAAAACTTAAAGTCGTAGGGAAGTCATATTTAAATTTCAAATCATTCTGGCTAAAACATGTATATAAATGTACTCTTTATCAGACCATATTGTCCCAAAATTTAGTAAAAATTTCTATTTAAAAAAAAAAATCCTGTCTTAAAATCTGTGCTTTTTCTGTTATCTTATGCAGGCCAGTTAGTTATACGTCAGCCCGAACACCTAAATTCTGCCAATCAAATATCAACAGTCATCTGTCAATCAAATTTTTTCGGTCATAGCATCTTGATTCATATGTCACAGCTAATATACGCAACGGTTGAAATAAGAAATCAGAAACATTTCCTTTCCCATTGAGTTCCATCCCAGTGTTCACGGGGATGGACGTCTGTGTCTTCAGCAGGCGTAGAGCTAACAGAACTGGCAGCGTTGCGAGGCAAGGGCTCAAACATGTACGGCTGTAAGCCTTCTACACCAAACCAAGCTCCAGAACATCTTTGTCCCCGCTTTCCTCCTCTAAATAAAAAATGAATGACTGAGGAGACTCATTCAAGACCTCCGACACTAAACTCTCCTCCTCTTCCATGTTTCCGCTGTCCATAGCATTCCTTGACAGTGTCGTTTCTAAGTCACCAATTTAGTGCTACTTGGTCCCAATGGAATTTCCCATTGGGAACCTACTAGCACTAAGTTGCTAACTGGTTAGCAACGATGCCTCAGAGAAATCGGCCCCAGTAGAATTCGGAAATGCAACTGTTGGAATGGCCATTTCCCTATGACTTTAAGCCTACAATATGTTTAGTACAATATTTCGGATTGGGTGTCATGCCAGCTAGTATCCACCTTCGATAATACACTTTCAGCCAATCATAGGATCGAATCGTGATATTTTCAGAACTAGTGGAGTAAGATAAATCAAATTACCCCATCGGAAGAAAAGCACAGACATCTTTTCCATGTACAAATGCTCAAAGTACTTCTCTTTGCTAATTTTTTTAATTACAAATTGTCGCTATTCCAGCTAAAACCAAGTCAGCTGTGTTATTTACAGGTCTACAGGTGCCCCGGCACTGTCGTCAATCTTACATGTCCCGCCTCAAAAACATTGCTGGCATGTCATTGGTCCGACCTGCTGGTGATTACAAGATGGATGTATTAGCAAAGTATTTCATGATGGATTTGTTGTGAGACTGAAAACTAAGATCTCAAGACAATCCAGCTTGCAGCGGAAGGTTACACCAGGTCAGCTCTGAGGAGAATGGTTACTGAGACGGGTTGAACTTTGAGTTTTCAGTAAACCGGCTTCATGAAACAGACCCCAGAACCTTGCACACTGCATATGTACAAACAACGGAACTCATCTGCTTCTTCTTCCATATTGACGACTCCAACCAGCTCCATATCTCGGCGCTGAGTCCGACGTGTGGTTTTTAGACATACAGTGTGAGAAATTCAAAAACATTGAAAAAGCAATCCACTGGACTTTGTATCCAAGTTTCAAGACGTTTCTCTTCCCATCCAGGAAGCTTTTTCAATTCAAAATGTCAGAAATAGTGCTGAGTTCCAGGCTTTATAGAGCAGAGTAAAAACAAAGCCTTGTTTTGGCGAGGTCTTCTGCTCTCCTGTAAAGTAGTTGGGGCTGCAATGATAGCAGGAAGGAATTAACTCCATCTCTGCATTGTAGGTTTTTGAAAGTTGAAATCTGAGTCCCCCCCCCCCCAAGGCTGGTTTTTCTTTCTTAACATAGATGGCTTTCTTCACACCCCTCTTAAACCACCTGTCTTCTTTGTCCAAAATGTGAACATTCTGGTCCTCCAAAGAATGTCCTTTGTCCACAAGGTGCAGATGTACAGCAGAGTCTTGTCCAGAGGAGGGCGCTCTTCTGTGTTGGGCCATGCATCTATGGAGAGGTTGTTTGGTTTTTCCAATGTAAAGATCAGAGCATTCCTCACTGCATTGAACTCCAGACACCACTCCGCTCATCTCAGGTCTGGGGGTTTGTCTTTTGGATGCACTAGTCTCTGTTTAAGGGTCTTGTTTGTTTTGTAATGTTCTGGGAGAAAATGTTTGGAGAAAATTGTCTGGAGTTTTTCAGAGTTTGAGTAATTAGACTGAATCTTAGCATCGGGCCGTACAGTATAAGAACAGACATTGTGAGCTGTGAACCTTTCAACCCTGGGGTTTTATTGTACAGTTTGAGCTATAGCTGAGTACAATGACTACACTACAGTGTATGCCCGGCTTAAGCACTGCTGGGATTTCTACCATAGCAGATTCTAGAAATGGGGAAAAAGGTTGTAGTAGAAAAAAGAAAAAGACATTGTTTCTACTTGAGCAGTGGGGTTAATGTATCACTGTTGTCAAGGTTTGGTTGAGGTTTGCGGACCCATATGCAGAGGCAGAGAGGCTGAGAAGATTTCTTGCAGTTTAATGGAGAAAAAACAGTAAACAAAGGCAGGAATCCAAAAAAAAACAACTAATAATGTAAACTCAACGAGAACCATGGAGACATCACAGGAAAATAATCACAGGGAGCCAGGGAGAGACGAGGTTGGACGAAAACAGCATTGAGATCCAGCAACGACAAGGAACCAACAAAGAGTGTCAGCAGAGGGAGAGTATAAGTAGCTGACTGAGACAAAGGCAGGGTTAACGAGCGGATAAGGAGCAGGTGTTAAAGGAGACAATGAGGAAGCCAAGGAGAAAGGAACACACACAAGAGGGCAGCAGAGGACAACAACAGAAAAACCTGAGAACTAAAATAAATCTCGAAACTACAACAAAATAGGAATTAAACCAATAAAACTAGAAAACAAGGAGCAAAGTAAAGCATAACAGAACCAAGACCATGACAATTCTTAATCAATTTCATTGTTTTTTCCAAATTCTAACCATGCCAGCACACAAAATAGATAAGGCCATCCAGTTGTAGCAAATGTTTTTCACACGTCTAGTTAGAGACATGATGCATCTCTGGCATTATGTTTTCTTTGTATAATGATAACCTTTCTAATGTTACAGAACCCGTGGTGATCCGGTGCTCAACCCTTTTGGTCACTATGCCCAAACTAGCTGCAAATGCATTTAGCATTTCCTTGCAGACTCTATTGGGGATGTTTATGTCAGCTTCCGTCAGTAGGGGCAGAATGACGTTCTGACTCATACAAAAACGGAAACTACTCTGAAGGCAGTACTACTATAGATGCAAGATTCATGCAAGGAATAAGGTTCAAATTTATTTAACGTCCTCAGACGGAGAGATAGGGCTCTGACTGTCTCAACGCACATTCCCCCCTGGGGAACCAACCCACCCCCTGCATAAAGGACTTTCTCGCACTTGAACATTTGGAGGAAAAACAACCTGAGTTCACCAAGGCTGTTTGCTGTTAGGTTAATATATCTTTCACTGGCCAGATGGATCTCCTCAAAACAACAGTCCTCCCATTCATGCCATGAAGGAGGCTGTGTAACTCATTTTTATCTCTCATGACATTTGTTTGAAGCCTGTAACGCTAAGAACAGACATACCTCAACATTTTTCACCTCACAATCCACACACTTCCAACTTTTAAATGCAATCTGTTCACTTAAATCAGTGAAAGCTACAGTTTTCTCACTAGAAGAGAAAATCAAATGCAGAGAATCAGCTGTATCGTGGTAATAGTTATAAAATGCTATCAGAGGCTATTACCGTTGCTATAATGCCAGAGTGTCAATGCCAGACTGACAGAAAGCTTTGGCTTACTGCAGGACTCCATTCATGGCTAATTTATTGCTCCAATGAACCACCAAGGTGACTTTTCCAGACTAAGGCTATTTGGAAACGCACCACAATTGTTACCATATCATCATGTGTGTGAATTCCTCAATTGTTCCACACTAATTAACCAAGAGGACAGTTTTAACTGTTTAAAACAGAAAGCAACCCCTGATAAGAAAATAAGATACCGTCGTCAAACTTGTAACAGTGTCTCAGGTACATGTAATAAAATTTTTACCGTACTCCTCAGACACCTGTGCAGCTCTAATAAAGTGTCCCAATGTATTAACATGAGAACAGCCATTTCGCAGAACATCCAAGAGCATAAAAACCCAGAACTGATATAAACAAGCTAGATAATTCAAATTACTGGACAACAATCAGTTAGAAACAGTTTGAACATTATTGTAAAAAATTACATAAGCAGGAAAAACGTCTTCCAGATGTAATAAAAAATATTTCTAATTATTCCAAGGAAAAATAGTAAAATTATTTACATTGTTTTGCACGAGGTTGTACATTTTGTGCTAAACCCAGGGGCAGATTTAGGAGATTTGGGCCCCTAGGCAAAGACAATCAGGGGGCCCTCTGAATTGGGAAGACACACATAAAACAGACCCATTATCCAGATAGAGAAATGTTAATAGAATAGACATCCATTATCTGTTCTAGGTTGTGTCCCTCTCTTCTTGTCCCTTTTCTTCTTGTTTTCCTCTCTATGTTTGTACTCAGCTGACTTTTCATGCTGTCTCTAAAGGAATGAAAGATTTTTTTCCAAGCACTAAGCTCACTTAGCTGATTGCTCCTTCCTGTGTTTCCAAAAAGGCCAAAGTAAATAACCCAGTCCTTCTTTTCACTGTAGACAAGCCATGATCTGCTTATCTGTTCTCCATTTTTCATTTCAATGAAATAATAGCTGCATGAATTATGACAGCAGACAAGATAGAGGAGAGCAGGAGGCGGGGTTACCATTCTACTTGCTCTGGAGAGCAGAGTTCGCTGCTTTTAGATGTTGTCTCCAAAGTCTCCAGTAGCAGAAAAAAAGTCTCTAGGTTTGGCGCTAGGAGCTTTTTAGAAATCAAAGTGCTAGAGGGGTCTGAAAAAATAAATATAGAGACTAAACAGCTCAGTTAGCAACACTGCTCTTTCAAATGGTTTGCTGCTGTCTGTTTGGACCTTTCTGAACATGTGCAGCAAATGGACTGATCCAATATGGTGGACACTGAAGGGGGGGCTGAGACACACTTAATATTATCAGCGTTCTGATGGCATTTTAGCCAAAGGATTTTAATCAAAAACATAACTAATGTGCATAAATAAGGAATAGTTGTATTAACCATACATGGAAACAGAGTTTTATGGGGCCCCCAGGAACTTGGGGCCCTAGGCAACTGCATAGTATTGCCTAATGGTAAATCCTCCCTGGCTAAATCTATAAACTCGTCAATTCTTTTAGATGAATTACTAATTACTAAAATGCAGCCATACTTCCTGCTGCTTTTACCTATTCCACCAGTGTATTATTATTCAAAGATATAAAAAAATAAAGAATTAAAATCCTCCTCATTCAAAGATAATTATGTTTTCCTCCTCAGAGGCCTACTGGGAATTTACTGAGCTAATATTAGGGATTTAATTAGCCTGGAAGTTTCTGCTCCACTGTAGGTTAGAAAAGGCATCTCCTTTATAATAGTTCTTTATTTCAGACACCTTTACTTTCTTTGTTGTAAACAAAGATCAATGTGTCAAAAACCTGCAGCTTTTAAAGCCTTAACATCCTTTTGAAACTAACTAGAGCCACTAGGTAAGACAAGAAGACCGTTGGACACAGGAGAAACCAGCTGTTTGTGCAGCTAATGGTTAGACGCCTCCTCGATCACCATTAATGGTCCATCATCAACATGAGATAGATCCTTATATTTTCCATTCCAGCTGAAAGTGAACTAGAAAACTGAACAAAAAGACTTTTGGACTAAATACAAAGAACGTTTTCAGACAAGTTGGTTCTATAAAAGCTTATTTCATGCTCCATCCTCCTATCACTGTTGCTCCAACACCCGCTATTGTCAGGCTTTGAAAAAAACATCTCAGGTGTCGTTGTTGTTCGCTCATCATGTTTCAGGGTTTTTAAGTTGTGCTGATTCCTTTACAGGTGGAGCATTGCTATCGATGGAGGGTCACTTTAAAGGGCCGTTTGATTTATTGGGACTTCCTGAAGTAGTATTGTGTTTGAGATTTGACTGATCTTTATGGCCATGGCAGGAAAACTTAAAAGACTTTTAAAACATTAGAACATTAGTCTGCAGACTTCTCTGACTTTGTTTTGGCAGGTCTACTTTTTTTCTAAATTTGGAAAGGAATAATTTTACTGCCTTTCTTATATAAAAGGTATAGTGGAGGATGTTTTATTTCCAGGTGGATCATCAGCGGTCCTCCTAACTGTCAATCATGGTGATATGTTTCCATAAGGCCGTCCTTCGTGCACGTCCCTATTTTCACTTACCGGTCATGAACCTGACATAGTGAAAAAAAATGCAAATCTTTGTTTGGAAGGTAAGCTTTGTGGAGTTTAGGAGGAAGCTGAGACTTGCAAGAGAATGTTCAAATGTATTTAACGCCCTCAGCCGGAGAGATAGGGCTCTGACTGGGGCAAACTCATTACATACATTTATACAGCAACTCCCAACACACAAACTGTCCCTTGGAACTATCCCAACCCTACACAAAGAACTTTCTCAAACACAAGCATTCGGTCATTCCCAAGAAAAAAAACACTTAAATTCCTTAAGGACATACATTTTAGCCAGATAAACACTGTGTGAACTCATTCTTATCTCTCATGACCCTCCCTTCAGCCTTTCTAGAGTAGGGAGGAAACTGTTATTTGTCATCCCCAATCTTGACTGGTACAACACTTCTGAACAATCAACCGTATTTAGGCCGAGGAAAGGCACGCTAACAAATCTCACAAAAGGCCAAGGAAAAAGTATGCTTCCACAGCTTTTGTAAGCAATGCAAACAGCAACATTTAAACAAAGCATGCACAAGGAGAAATGGGCTTGTCCACGTTCTCGCACGTGTTTAATAGACGTTGCCTCTCTGTAGCAGGTACAGGGTTTTGCATGTGCATTTTTAAAAAAGCAGAGAGTCTTTTCAAAAATTTGGCAGAATCCTCCACTACACCTTAAAGGATCGGTTCCCTTGACAGGCTACATAGTACTGCCTTGCAGCCAGAATGTTCTGGGTTCGATTTTTCTGCATTGAGTTTCCATATTCTCCATGAGGATTCATGGGTTCTCTCCGGGTACTCCGGCTTCCTCCCACAGTCCAAAAACATGACTGTTAGGTTAATTGGCTTCTCTAAATTGTCCTTAGGTGTGAGGTTGTGTGAAAGGTTGTTTGTCTTCTTTGTCCATTTGCTGCCCTGCGATGGACTGGCGACCTGTCCAGGGTGGACCCCGCCTCTCACCCGTAAACAGCCGGAGATAGGCACCAGCACCCTTCGCCACCCCAGCTGGGATAAAGCGTAACGCTTTGCTCTTGATATAATTGGTTTTACTCCTATTTAGAAAGCTATTTTTCTAAGCAGAGCAGACCTTACCTGATGGTTTGAGTGCCCATCTCACATTGTAGTTTCTGTGTTTTATCATCCTTCAGGCTCACTAAGTCAGTAATGGGAGTTGGTCATGATCTGTGGGATCTTTAACAAATTTTTAATCAATTACATTTCCATAAATAAATTTTTTAGTATTAGTAAAACAGAACCAGAAAAGATGAAGCTATTATAAGAAACAAAAAAAGCTGAGAAAACGTAAGGAAGTTGAAGTTGAATTTACAAACTGCTGAATCGGAGATTAGAAGTGGACTGAATAGGAGAGAAAACTGGTCCCCATGTCCTCCTGCAGCCTAAGCTTATAGCAGCATCACTACAGATTTTTCTCTGTATGCCCCCCAGGAACCCTTAATCAAAAAAACTGGGCCAAGAAGTTCCCGTTATGCAGCAGCGCTAAGCAGTCTCCCATCAACATCAACGAGAACCTGGCTCCAGTTAAGCTTCAGTACCAGAAACTTCGATTTTATGGGTGGGAGATCCCGACGCCTGAAGGCACCACCATCAAGAACGATGGCAAGACAGGTATGGGAAGTCAAAGGGAATTATCTCTAAACTGCATTAATCAGCAGACATATAGCCTGCGTACATAGAGTCAGTCATGATAGTATTGATTTTAAAGTATATTTTACAACGGCGTATTAGGGCCAGGCTAGAGATTTTTTTTATTTTTTTATTTTGAGAATAAAGTCATTACATTGCAAGGATAAAGTTGTAATATTATGAGAATAAAGTCGTTTTATTTCGAGAATAAAGTCATAATATTACAGGAATTAAGTAATATTACCAGAAGAGAGTCATAATATTACAAGAAAAAAGTCGTAACATTATGAGAATAAAGTCATCATACCACAAGCCATTTCAGAAAGAAAGCTTGGAGCTCCGCCCAGCAGATGACGGCCAACCAGCTCCACCAATCAGCAACCTGAGTCCACTTTGACCTCCTGCCCAGTTTGATGCTGCTGCTAAAAGATTTCCTGATTTTTTCAAATCGATGCCAAAGTATAATTTCACACGATGCTCCACATTTAGGGAAGAACGTGCTTCTTGTAAGATTTGTCATAAAGCTTTATTCTCTTAATACTACGACTTTATTCTCGTAATAAAACAACTTTATTCTAGTAATGTTACGACTTTAGTCTCATAATTGTACGATTTTAGTCTTGTACATTTTATGACTTTATTCTCAAAATGTTACGACTTTATTCTCGAAATAGAAAAAAAAAATCTCTAGCCTGGCCCTAATACTTGTTTGTAATATTAGGATCAACTCTAAAGACGGATAATTATTCTGAAAGGCCCCAAAAGAGGATTTTTTTTATGCTGTTCTGTTTAAAATGATTGAGAGAATATTTGTTTTTGCTTCTTCTTCTGCTTTTTAGACATTTTGTCTAATTTCTGTTGTTCCATCAAAGAATCTTTGCCATGATTTCATATGATCCTCTGATGTCAGATTATTCCAGCACATCTTTTTCTTTTCTAATATCAGTGGCCGTCAATCTGGATGGAGAGTTCTATGTCAGTGGAGGAGGTCTGAGGTCAAAGTTCAAAGTGGGTCGCATCACCTTCCACTGGGGGCGCTGCAATGCCTCTTCAGAGGGTTCAGAGCACAGCCTGGAAGGCATCAAATCTCCTTTAGAGGTGAGATCTTATTTGTAAAGTCTGTCCTCTGTTGACTTTTAAACAGTGTTTCTAATCAAACCTCTAGGTCTGAATGTTGTAAGTACGATTCTGGTTACGACCTGCCAATGCTGATGTGCCTGTTGGCAAGGCACCAAGTGGCACATCCATCTGCGTTAATGAATGTGTGTCTGTAAAGTGGAGCTGGGTTCATCTGGCTCTAGAAAGGCAGTATGACCAGAAAAGCCTTTTAATGATCGTCTGTTTGTTGGATTTTTAAAACAATTTCTTTTCTCAGCATTTGTCTTAAATATGTTTTTCTTTTTTTTTCAGTACCAAAAAAAATCCTAAACATGTTATGTCTGTTTAAACTTTTAAATCTTTGACATTTAACATTTTTAAAAGTGGCAGTTCAAATCCGCAGCAGTATTAAAGTGTAACTCACCCCCAAAATCAACTGTTTGCTGCCAAAGTGGTGGAATGGTTGCCGTTTTCCTGCCTACGTCACTGGTACAGGTGTCATCATCATAGTCCTGTGTTTCAGTTTAAAAGCAATTCATTCAGACATACAGAGTCGTCTGTCCTCTGCTTCCTCACCAGCTCCACTTTTAAGCATGGTTTATACTCACTGCATTGCACAGGATGCGTCGCTTAGTCACGCACCTCTAAACTTTTGTAACTCGGCCTTGTGTGCCAGCCTCGTCCCAAATGTGAGGATATAAAGTTGTTCTCCATTAACAAATCTGCCTGCACCGACGTCAAATGGTGCAGAAGGTTCCAGTGGAACAATGTGGTTAAATGCAGAGTTCTTCCGGTTTATTCAGCGACTGAAAGCAGCAAACAGGGGAGTTTATTAGTTTATAGGGTTTCCATCACATACAGTATAAACTAGAAAAAGCTGTTTCGGAGAAACTTCAAAGTGGGAATGCTTTTGCTGAATGAAAAAAGCTGAAATTACCTGAAGAACATATGAAAATGTGATAGGAAGTCATCAGAAACTTCAAACTGCAGAAAACAATTGAATCATCTGAAGATTTTGTAGGGTAGAATCATTTGGCAGTAAAATGGCAGAAACAAACTCATCTTAAAAGCTGCACAGCCAAACCATACATGATATCAAAAAAAGACTTGAATGTGGGCACTAGAAGGGTCTTAATATAATGTCTCCCAAGTTTCTAGCAAAATGTATAAAGAAATTTTGAAGGGGGGTTTACCTACTTTCCAGAAATATGTCCGGCGTGTTATGAATTAGCAGCAAACAGAAAAGCTTAATTCCTGTCCAGAAACAGAGCAGAATGAAGCCAAAGTTCACAACATAGGCTGAGAAGTATGAAATTAGCTGAAGTAGAAAAGAAATTACAAAGAAAAACTTTAATCTTATCTGGTTGAAGAAAAAATTAGTAGCTTAAGGATTGGAAGAAACATTTTGAAATCATATGTGGAAATGTCAAGACTTGGCAAAACAACTGGAAAATTATTTAAAATGTGTCGGTTGATCAGCATAAAGAAAACAGTGTCATCCTTAGAGGATTGAAAATCTACAAACCTTTGTGCAAGACTGACCATGAGAAGCAGAGGAAGGACAGAGAGAGAAGCTTATAGAAAGAGAGCTAATACCACTTAAGGAGCTGAATTTATAAAAAAAAATTGAACCTGCATGTTACGAGCCGCTGTGGTAATGAAAGCACCGTTGGCAGGCTTAGACTGCATGTTACAAGGTTAGCAGATGCTTTATTACAGTATAAATCTTAGAACCTGATTAAGAAATATGCACTGAGGTGTGTGGTCCACAGGCCTTGGTAGTGTAATTTGAAGAAATTGGTTGAGTTTGGGTCATAGCTACAAGCCATATGGCACAATGAATGAGTGTGCGTAAGGAAGAGGCATTTATTTTGTAGGTTCCCTTTAGTCTTATTTTGAAAGTCTATCATGGATGTGTGTCAAGGGAAGGGTCATGCCCAGCAGTGATATAGAATCCATTTCCAAATATGAAATCACTGGTTTTCCATGTTATTGGTTGAATAGATGCTGTATTAGAGCGTAAATGGGAGACATTTATTGCGAAATTTGCTCCTGGGTATGTTTTAAAAAGGCTTCTAGAGTCTAATAGTAACAAGCTGGTGGAGTTTGGGTCATAATGCTGAGCCATTTGCATCAATTAATACACGAGTATAATATAGAGGCTTTTATTTTGTAGGGTAACTGAAGTCTTATTTTGAAAGTCTAGCAGGGTTGTGTGTTGAGAAAAGGGTCAGACCCAGCAGTGATACTTGATGACTTTCCAATCGTTAAATTACTCTTTTCCCCTTTTATAAGGGCAGTAGATAAAGTGGCAATGGGAGGCTTTTATTTTGAAAATTTCCATGGGGTGTGTTTTGAAAACCCCCTAGAGTCTCATTTTTAAAAAAGTGGTTGAGTTTGGGTCATAATGTTGAGCCATATGCTGGGAAAAAAATATGAGTTTAATTTAGGGGCTTTTATTTTGAAGGGTCCCCGGAGTCTTATTTTGAAAGTCTATCAGGGTTGCGTGTGAAGGGAAGGGTCATGGCCAGTAGTCATATTGTATCCACTTCCTAATGTTAAATCAGTGTTGTCTCCCTCCATTAGATTAAAATGTGCTGTTTAAAGTGGTGGAGGTAAAATCTCTTTGAAGCACGGTTACCTTGACGACGTTAACGAGCCTGTCAGTGACAGAGAGACATGCGCATCACTTTCGTTCCTTTCCTCTCAGGCTTTTTTGAATGGGAATAGCAGCTCCGAACAAACGAGTGCTGAAGACAAACCGTAAATGGTATCCAAAAAATTCTTTCAGTCTAAGGGACAGCTTTCCTTTGTCTCCAATTGGGGTAACTTTCATGGATGTAGCTCATTCACAGCCTTAATGGGAAGGAGGAATAAAAAGGTTTGAGAAATCCTCCTAGTCTCATTAAATAACATGCAGCACAATGGTAGAGCAGAACTCTCAAAAGCAAAACTTTCCCTCCGAACAAACAAGCGGTGAGCCAAAACCGTATTAGGTATTCAAAAAATTCTTTCACCGTGAGCGTCAGCCATCTTTGCACCACAACTGGTGTAACTTTCATATTTCTAGAGTATTTCGTCTAGGCGTGGTGACGATGTAAAAAAGTGTATAAATGTCAAAGTCTTGATTTTGGGGTTCGGACAGATTTGTTACCCCCGAACAAACCTTTTTCCTAGCTAAACGATAAAAGATATCGACACACTTCCTTCAATGTGAGTGCTAGGAAGGTCTGAGGAACAACTTCCAGAAGGCTCGTGTTGCTACGTCAAACGGTTCCCGAATGGGAGCGATACGAAAAAGTCTGTTTTTTTGAATTTTCAGTTCGGATTTTCAGAGAGCTCTCATTGGATTTCTATTGGAGAAGTGTGGACTTCTTCGTGGTCTGGGCCAAACTGTCGGAAAACCGTAAATGCCACACAGATGAGGATTACATTTTCTGAATCCTGACAAAAATCCCTACGTTTTGATGTAAAATTTATCTAGATAGGGTAAAAAATGAGCGAGTGAGTTGAAGCTGTTCGGCATGAGTGAAATGTTTGAAAACGCTAGAGTGGCACACTCTAGCAGCTGAACATTCCGTCCATAGACTTCCATTATAAATTTGAAAATTTGTAAAAATTGTTTAAAAGTTTGAAGCTTCACTGAAGCAAAACTGTAAAAGTTAGCTGAAAGCCGAGTTAAACAGTAATAGCAGAAAGACACGGACACATTTTAAAAGTTGAATGGTGTTTCTAGCTGAAAGTATGCTGAAGTAGTTAAAGGGCAAAGTAGCTGAAGTTTTAGTGGAATTTTTGAAGTTTTACATGCATTTCAATGGGGCCAAAAATCGCAGAAAAAGCTGAATATCACGAAAAGTACAAACAATATCTTTACCAAAAGATATAGCAGAATTCTCCTGAACAAGCTGAACATTTTGATACCAAATTTGTTTAAGTCGGCTGAAAACTGTTGAACTAGTTAAACGAAGAAAAACCTACGGAATAATAATAAATATAAACAGAAAAACAATAAGTGGGAATGCATAAGCATTCCCACTTGATAAAGTCTGAAGGAACTACCCATAGTATACAATAAAGGCAGCATTTTTTGTAATAAAACGTTTTTTTTTTAGATATGTTATAAAAAAAGAAAAAGGTCTGTATGGCTTCACAGGCAGGCTGGTTTCCCCATCGTCACGTCTCTCTGTGTGCAGCAGGTAAACCTGCCGTTTTATTCCATTGTATATTTCTGTGTAACAAACCTATTATTCTTGAATAATCAATCCTTAAATGAACAATACTGTGCTAGGCTATTTCGGAAATTGGACTTAAACTGTTTCTTCTCTTTTTTTTCTACGTTTCCATTCTTTATGTTGATCGCTGCCCCTCTGTGGTTTTTGAGAGTACTGCGCCTACATCAGCGTCAACTAGAAAAGGGTACAGCGGTTGTATAGGCTCACGTACGGCACGCACAGACCGGTGCGACAACCCAAAACGCGAGTATATTTCAACCTTTAGGCATCACTAAGTCAGGGCCTCAAAAGAAGGGACTACAACTGAGGCCCCGGCCCCCAGGGTCCAGAACACCTCACTCAACTTTCAGTGACAATGAGAAGTTTCTTTGTAAGATCTGTCAATGGCACAACTATAGTAGTAGCCATTTAAAATTTCCCCAATATCCTTGATGGGTCCTTGGCTGGTCTTTGGCTGGTCCTGGGCTAGTCTTTCGTTGGTCTTTGGCTGTTCCCCTACAATTCCTTTTAAACATCTAAAACATTCTTTCTGTCATGATTTGTGGACATTAAGATCTAAAGAGAAGCACCATCTCCTGGTCAGACCGTGAAATTCAGTGAAAGGGTGGAGTTAGAGATTAAAAAAAAAAAGCATGCCCAGGAGAAGGCCAGTGGCCTGACGTTGGAGGGAATTACGCTGTGAAATGCAGGGAAGTGGGCTGCCATTCGGCTGGCGTTTGGAAGGGCCATTTAGAATGGCTGCTACTTTATCTGCATACTGTAGCCCTGGTCACCCACTGTGCTTCATTATGGCTTATCTAAGTTAGCGGCCATGCCCTCCCTGCTACCAACCCCACCCCCACCATCACCTCCACGCAGAGGGTAAGTTACACTTTAAAGAAGCCTAAATAGAATCTTTGAGATCATGTAAAAACGAATTACGTTTAGAGTCTGTTAAAATGACCTTTTGCAGTGAGCTTCTCAGAGTTTACGGATTTGCAATGTCTAAAATGTTCCCCAAAACCTCACCCTGTTCTTAAATGGGGGACAACATTCTGAGACTGAAAGAGGGCAGTCGTATCTTTTCATCTGATCTGTTTTTTCTCCTCTAGATGCAGATCTACTGTTATGAACCGCATCACTTTGACTCTTTAGAGGAAGCCATCCGGGACAGAGGCAGGATCACAGCTCTAGCTGTGCTGTTTGAGGTATGTGTGAAATAAAAAAAGACAAATGATGTGTCTAACACTTTATTGTATTTTTATGCATATAATATTTAAACATAATTTAACTTTATTGATCTCACAATGGAGAAATTCACTCTTTGCATTTAACTCATCTCCTTGGGGAGCAGTCGTGTGGGCTGCCATTGTGCGGCGCCCGAGGAGCAGTGTGCGGTTAAGGGTCCTGCTCAGGGACCCAGAGTGGAGGCTGTGGGGATCGAACCGGGTACTTGTAGCCTTCTCAGAAGGCTAGGATACCGCTCCCCCATGCATATATACATAGAGACAAAATGGCCTCTTATGAATTAGAATTGATGTCGTTAGGAACGTTATGTTCATCAACCAGTTGGCTGAACGAAGTAACGTCTTTTAACTAAAGTCGTAGTTTGAGGAGTAATAAACACATCATATAAAATAGTTAAAAGGAGATAAGAAATCCCCATAATTAATCATTAGTTACAGATTTGGTAGATCTTTGTTAAGCAGTTAAATATAGTTTACAAAAAAAAAAAAAAACTAAACATAGACAAATAAAAATTAGAGGTTTTAGATGGTAGTATGACCTAACTTAATGCTTATTTTTAGAAGATCAGCTAAAGGTGAAAAATGTTTGTAGAGTTAAAGAAGCTGAAAGTGAAGTGATTGGTTTACGTAGACTGACACAATATCCCCAGATGATCTGAATTATAAATGTTAAACAGTTTTACTCCTCAGGATGTTAAAAGGTTTATAATCTCCAAAAATGGAGACAAAACAAAGATAACATTGTTTACTGGTGTGCTTCTGAAGCCCTACTTTAAAAAACTACTTTAAGATAAAAAAATAAAAAAATAAAAACAGGTTTAAAGGTATACTATGCAACCGGTGTTGATTTTCCAGCGAGGCTCCCCCCAGAGGGCGAAAGTAAAAGTGCACTGTCGTAAATATGCACAGCTGTTCTCCTGGTTTCTCCGTCAAGCCAGGCGCGGTTGTTTTGAGCTTAGCAGACAGGCGAATGCAACGAATGACTAAGCATCTGACGTGCGTGACGCGCCGCAAACGTGCTGCTGCTCGAGATGGAAAAATTGAATTTTTGCTCCTCGACGCGTGAACCAATCAGAGAAGCTGATCTGGGAGCTGGCAGGGAGAGAGAGACAGCACTGATGATCAGAGCGCTATGATCACTCCTCTTAAACAGTTTATTGACGCCTAAATTAACTTAAAATTCAGAAATCTGCCGGCAGAATATGTTCGCTTTTATTATCCTGTTGCCTGCAGTTTGGATTATTTAGATGAAAAACACCTACCAGCCGCCACGGTGAACCGCGAGGAGGCAACCCGGTCAGAGGCTGCTGATGAAGGGATTCCTACTGTCGGCGCACCGCTGGTATGTGGGGGTCTGAGCGGCTCAGACAGAAAAAATATTGTAAGGCAGGATGATAATCTGAATGAACTGACTGCACTGATTTCGTTTTCAGGTGTCTTTTCTCACTTAAAAACATATTAAAACTACTTTATTCCCACTGATCACAGCAAATATAGCTGCAAGGCAGAGAAAGGATAGTGAAGCTCCGCCCAATGCGCGTCAGACACACTTTTGCACCGCGCAGCCAGAGCAGCAAAGCTGCTTCAGCCGCGCGTCAGAACTAACTGGTACAAGCAGTAAAAATGAAGCAGCAGACGCGATTTTGCTGCTTTTGCTGCGTCCGGTGTGAAAGCAGCACTGCACAAAGATCGCCACTGTGCTAGCAACGAGCATGCCTTTAACTGGGGGGTGTAGCAGTTCTCGCCGTAAAGCGAGACCGACTCTCGCGAGACTTCTGAGCCTGTGGGTGCGGGTCGGTGCTCCTGCAATTGCAAGAGCGGTATTTCCCCCACAGACCACCAGGGCGGTTGAGAATACCTTTGTTCAACCTGAAATTACTCATTTAATCATCCAAAACGTTATGGAACACATTAATTAACTGAAAAATGTTGCATAGTGTGCCTTTAACAGTAAAACATGTCTATTCTGTTTCACTGCTTTTCCTTTTGATCTGGGTAGCCAGGGACTCTAGAAACAAATTGTCATGAAGCGGGACAGATGGACCGGGTAATCAAGGCGAGACAGTCAGTAGGAAAGTTCAAAGTGTTTATTAAATAATAACAAACAAAACTAAAATGGAGCTGCTAGGATCTGCGACTCTCGGCTACTGCAGGAGGGGGAGGGGCGGTTTGGACCCAGAATTCAGACGAGACAGACAGTGAAGCTTTAAATGAGTTTATTGAACAAGCTGTGTGCGGCTGCTCATCAGCTGGATAAGCTGCGGGGATATGGACTCAGATAAATATTTCTGAAGCTCAATCAGGGAATTATAATGAGCTGAAAGTCACCAACCTGGCAAAGTTCAGTCTGAGCTCAGAAGGAGGATTGAGGTTCGGAGGAGCTGAGCTCCGCAGCGTGAAACTGAGCCTGAACCAGAGATCCAGAAAGAAAGAGGACCAGTGATCAGCAGCAGCTAGAGCACACAGAGAAAACGAGGGATCCAGGAGGGATAATCAAAGCCGTGGTCAGAAGACGGGTCCAAGGTCGGCAACAGGTAGAATCCCGAGAAACAGAACAGGCAAACAGAGCAGAGCAGGGGCGGCCAAAACTCAGAAGTCCGGAGGCAAAACCAGGTCTATATCGGGCAGAAGACACACAGAGAAACGCTAGAACTAGACTCCTTGAAAGCTTGAATAATCTGGCACCATGGGCTGGGAACTGGTGGCATAAATAGGAGAAGAAACAGGTGGATCTGATCAGAGATAATTAGGCCGGGGAGGAGCAAAACAGATAAGAGGAAAAAGAGTAAAACCCAGCCTATGGTGCCAAGATCATGACACTCAGTGAGTCACTTACCTGGTTCAACAGTCCATTGGCCTTAGCTGGTTCTTGGCTGGTCCTTGGCCGGTCCCTGGTTGGTCCCTGGCTGGTCCTTGGCCAGTCCTTAGTTGGTTTTTGGCTGGTCCCTGGCTGGTCCTTGTCTGGGCCTTGGCTTGTTCTTGGCCAGTCCTTGGTCGGTCCTTGTCTGGGCCCTGGCTGGGCCTTGGCTGGTGTTTAGCCGGTCCCTGCCTGATTCTTGGCTAGTCCTTGGACAGTCCTTGGCTGGTCCTTGGCTGGTCCTTGGCCGGTACCTGGCTGGTCCTTGGCTGGTCCTTGGCCGGTACCTGGCTGGTCCTTAGCTGGTCCTTGGCCAGTCCTTGGTTGGTTTTTGGCTGGTCCCTGGCTGGTCCTTGTCTGGGCCCTGGCTGGGCCTTGGCTGGTGTTTAGCCGGTCCCTGCCTGATTCTTGGCTAGTCCTTGGACAGTCCTCAGCTTGTCCTTGGCCGGTCCTTGGCTGGTCCTTGGCCGGTACCTGGCTGGTCCTTGGCTGGTCCTTGGCCGGTACCTGGCTGGTCCTTAGCTGGTCCTTGGCTGGTCCTTGTCAGGTTTGAGCTCTGGGGCGAACATCTCTTCCTTTGTCATTACTTACCTACTTTTATCAACAATTATTCTGCATGAAATTGATATTTAAAAGTACATATATCTACCTAAATTGATTATTTTCTCTTTACCCCATATAACAAAATCTAGTTCTGAAAAAAAACATGAATTTTGTTCTTATGATCTTTAATCTTACTATATAAATGTGCATAATTAACCACAAAGTTTTTGTTGTCTAGTAATTGTTAATATATAAAAAATTTAAATGTTTTGAATATTCCATTTGAGAGTATTACTGCTGCCACCGTCTGTATTAGAGGGGGGAAAATGGTAGGGGTGGCCACAGGGGTGGCCAATGACTGGCTAAGGGTGGCCATGGCCACCCCTGGCATCTAACTCCGCCCCTGCATCCCTTTTAATGTGACTCCCTTTGCTAGCTTAGTTTATTAGCTTCTTTACACTGTGTTTGACTCTTTAGAGACATTTCTTAGCTGTGCTGTGAGGTTCCTTTTAATTATTTGAATGAAACTTCCCCCTAAAGTTCATAATACCTGGAAACAATTTTTTTGTTTTCTTTTTTTTGTCTTGATGCTTCTCAGCTGGCAGCTCGAACTAAATGAATACAGTCTGCCTCTGAGTCTAAGAGATAATCTCAGTTAACAAACAGCATCAACAAGACAAAGGTTCAAAGCAGGTAGATCAGACAATAGTTTACATTTCCAAGGTGATGCTGGAGGAGCTGCAGAGATGTTAGGTGGGGAAGATGACAACTTCTTGTGTCTCTGGTGTTTAGGGAACAGTGGTAAGAGGAAATATGTTGTCTAAAGTCTGTCAGAGGTAGTCTTGTTTCATCCGTTACACAATGAGCTGCATCAAACTGCAGCTCATGGTGCAGCTCAAACTGTCTGGATTAATGTTGATCCTTTAACATTGACTTTGAATCTTTGTTCTCCACCTATGTGTGGATCCCAAAGTTTATCCACAAAGATATTTACTGAATAGGATTAGCATGTTAGACTACTTACCTTCTCCGCAGTTCGATTAGCTTCATGAACACATTGCAAGATGTAAATGTAGAGAAACTGCTTTTGTTAATAATCACATCTGATTATCAAGGACTGGAAATATTTCTGACATGACTGCAACAGATACAGGTGGAAGCTTTTGGGAGGCTGGGTAAACCAGACGTTATCCTGGAAATCACTGCTAGAAAGAGTGGTGTAGTAGTTTTAAGTTTGTGAGTTATACAAGGAAATGTAATGCATGATTTTAACATTTTATTATTTCTGTATAAATGTAGTGCTATGAGGATTAAATCAGTAAAAATTGAATATTCAGATTATCTTTTTTAAACAGACAAGTGGTGAAGAGAACATGAACTACGCTCCCATCATAGATGGCATCAACAGTGTGAGCAGATATGGTACTGTAGCGTCTTCTGTCTGTTTTCTCACGTTATTCTCTGTCTTCTCACTGATTTCGCTTTCCTTTAATCATTCATTTAATTCACCGTCTAGGAAAGAGTGCAGAGGTATCGCCGTTTACCCTGCAAGGTCTCCTGCCCAACTCCACCGAGAAATACTTCATCTACAACGGATCCCTGACCACCCCCCCATGCAGCGAGACTGTGGAGTGGATCCTATTTAAGAACAAGGTGACCATTTCTGAGGAGCAGGTGAGGATTTAGGTATCAGTCATACCGACCTTTAACATGAATGATTTTAGATCATTAGCATCCACTGACAAAACACCTTAGCTACACAGAGGGTATTTGCTTGAGGACACATGGTGGCAGTGCGTCTTCTTTAGAGCGGTCAGGCTGACCATGAGACATGGACGAGTCCTGGTAGAAGCCCTAAAAAGCACTGCTAGCACTTGACAAAGCAGGACTGGATTCAGGTGGTAAAAAAGACAAAGGAAAATTTAAACAAAAACTTTTAATTTTAAAACGTATAACGGAAGTTAGAACATTTAGTGCCCTGGCAATTTAGAAAGCCCCTTGTTACAGACCAAGGTCTCCAGTCAAGTGAAAACTTTAGGACTCCCATGGAAATCTTCATCTCTTTACTCAGAAGGGTTTACACACTGATGAATGTTGGACTCTGTCACTGGTGACCACATGGCGCCGTGAGGAATATGAACAAATATGTCCCCCAGATCCTCATAATACATATTGACTTCCCAGGGAAGTCCCACAGACCCCAGTCCCCTTCTTATGAAGAGGAACCTTCACCTCAGTCTCTCAATCCATTAGTCATATCCCATTGCACACAGAACCTTGAGGAGGCATGTTAACCACAGCAGCCCTACAACATCAATAAACCAGAGGTACTCCAGGCACAACTCCACCCTGGGAAGCCTTGCCACCTCCGAAATCTTTTATCACCTTGTTGACTTCCGCCTGGGTGATGAATGGACTGGCTCAGAGCATCAGTCTACTTCCACCAGGGAAGACACGTCTGGGTTGAGGAGATCATCAAAGTATTCCTTCCACTGTCTTAGAATGTACAAGTCAAGGTCTGCAGCTCCCTCTTTGAACATTTTTAACATGGCACTGCTTCCCCCTCCAGATGCACTGGATGGTTTACCAGTAGCAGTTTGAGGCCAACCGATAGTCTTTCTCTATTGTCTCTCCAAACTATTCCCCTGCTATAGTATTTGCCTCTGCGACCACCCAGGCACCATCCTGCTTGGCCTGACGGTGTCCTTGCCGACTGGAGGTATTAGGATTAATACAAAATTCCACATATACTTTCAGGATCTTCATTTAGCATTAGATTAACTGCTATAACATTCAGATGCTCAGAGGTTTTTTATTACCATAACATGTTGACTATTTTCTAGTCATTGGTATGACTGATGGTAAATAAGCATTTTATTGTTCTGCCATTCATGCGTGAGTATGTGCATGTGAGTTTATTTCCACCAGTGCTAGAGAGTCATAGGACTTTAGCTTGTTGTTGTGCAAGAAGGGGGGGGTTCTGAACCACAATTACAGTCATGTCTCTTAAGAGCCATTTAGACGTGTTGTCACAGAGACTAACGGGGGAATTATCATACCACAATACAAGAAAGGCAACAGTAATAGGCGAGGCAGAGAGAGAGCTGTCGGCATGTTTGGTGTGATCGTGTGAGAAGCTGGCAAGATGATGGAGTGTGAGCCAAAAGCATAAAACATAAAAAAAATAGTGTCACACAGAAATATATAGATACTTTAACTATAAACGACACAGATGGTAAATTACCTGTACGTATCAGGTCAGGGGAAAAGGTGTCCAGCATCTTATGTTTTATGTTGAACAACAATAAACAAAAAAATTTAAAGTATCAGACTTTAAGATGAGTTGAAGTAAATGTTATGATCTTAGGCTCCTTTCGTTGAAGCTGCAGGATGTGTTCTGACTGGTTTACATTCCAGCCAAATTCCGTCTATCAGAACTTAATGGTTTAAGTGAGTTTTGCTCCTATGTGAGGAATTAGTGACTCACCTGATGCAGGTACAGACATAGACTAATGGTTTAAAGTTGTAGGGAAGTCATATTTAAATGTCAAATCATTCGGGCTTAAACGTGTATATAAATGTACTCTTTATCAGACCATATTGTCCCAAAATTTAGAAAATTTCAATAAAAAAAAAATGAAAATATGTTTTTTTTTTTTTTTTTTTGTTATCTTCTGCAGGCCAGTTAGTTATACGTCAGCCTGAACACCTAAATTCGGCCAATCATATATCAACGATCATCTGTCAATCAAATTTTTTCAGTCATAGCATCTTGATTCATATGTCGCAGCTAATATACACAACGGTTGAAATCAGAATCATTTCCTTTCCCATTGAGTTCCATCCCAGTGTTCACGGGGATGGATGTCTGTGTCTTCGGCAGGCGTAGAGCTAACAGAACTGGCAGCGTTGCGAGGCAAGGGCTCAAACATGTATGGCTGGAAGCCTTCTACACCAAACCAAGCTTCTGCTGCCCTGGCGTCCTCTTCCACAACATCTTCGTCCCCGCTTTCCTCCTCTAAATAAAAAATGGATGACGGAGGAGACTCATCCACGACCTCCGACACTAAACTCTCCTCCTCTTGCATGTTTCCTCTGTCCATAGCGTTCCTTGACAGTGTCGTTTCTAAGTCACCAATTTAGTGCTACTTGGTCCCAATGGAATTTCCCATTGGGAACCTACTAGCACTAAGTTGCTAACTGGTTAGCAAGATGCTTCTGACAAACTGGCCACAATTAAACTTGTTTGCGAACCTTCTGCCACAACGATCCTACCCCCTTGATAATCGACCAATCACATTCTCTTTATTCACTTGTGTAAAGTTGGCACCACTTGGCAGAATTCAGAAATGCAATGGTTGGAACAGCCACTTCCCTACGACTTTAAATGCTATGCTTGGCTCCCCAATGCCTGCCGACTTTTACTGTGGAGGAAAAGAACTGCTGTGATTGGCTGTTGCTACCCCTCTGTAGAAATGGCAACATGTTTCCACCTCCTGCTAAAGATCAAATCTGAAAAGCATCTAAAACCACTTTTGGCTGTAACAGATTAATGTAATCTCACTGATTTGATCTAAACCATCCACTGAAGCTCTGGCTGTTGGTCTCTGCTCGTTGTCCTGTTGGACCATTAAGCTCTGCAACAGTTGCAGTTTTTTGGGGGGGGGTTTAGTCCCAGGATTCTCGCAGTTTATCCCATTATCTACCACTAGCTTTTCATATCATGATGTTGTTTCTTAGTGTGGCCAGTGTGTTTAGAGCCATTATCATGTTGCATGATCCAGTTTAGCTCATCTCATGTCAGTAAAGTGGTGACATGTTTGTCCTATAAATGAAGACAGAGCTCCTCAGTCCTGGTTCTATAAACCTGAAAGCACTAAACGTAACGATGGTGGTGATGTATTCAATGGATCGCTTTCATTAGCAGCAACTAACATTTCCCCTGAACACAGCTGGGAAGTCTGAGCTGTCAGCTGCTCTGCTGGGAAACAATAAGCATGCTGAAACTTTCAGGAATAAAAAAATCCCCTGTATACTGTTAGTTCATGATGATCTGATATTAACATGATGGGCGACCAAAGTCAGATCCCCTGTTTTTGACTCAGATTCGGTCACACATTGCCTTTATATTTTGGACTAATTTCTGTGTTGCTTTAACCTTGGTGGTTTATTTATTTTATAGGTCTGAATATATCACAGCTGACAGCCAGAGGATGTTTGAGTTAACCATTGTTTTACCCTCATGTTTGCAGCTGGAGATGTTCTGTGAAGTGATGACGATGCAACAGGCTGGATATGTTATGCTGATGGACTACCTGCAGAACAACTACAGGGATCAGCAGGAGCAGTTCACGGGTCAGGTGTTCTCCTCCTACACCGGCATCGAGGAGGTCCAAACGCCAGGTTGGTCTGACTGATTAAAAAGCATTTCACTGCAGTTCCTGCGAGGCTTATCAGGCTGCTTCCATCAGATGCTGTCTTGTTTTGGGAAAAAATGCATCTTCTATATCGACGACTACAAGCTAAACAGTTTTGATTTCATCTACATCTGTGTACTTTGCTCTAAATGTAAGTAATTTAGAAAGAAATTCTGATTGCATCTCTCAATTCCTTTAAAAAAAACACACTAAACTTTTAAATATTAAACCTTTTTTTCCCATTAAGTAATTTTACAACAATTATTCATTGCAGGGTTTTTTGTATCAGTGGAAGAAAACTCAATCAATTCAGAACCGGTTACTATATCAGAGCTGAGGCAGTAATATTATTTTTGCCCCCGCTTTGGTAAAGGATAAGATTTTTGTTGATGATGATTTTGATGGAGATTATTATTATTTCAAACAAACATCATCATCAGAGGGCAAAACTTCAACATACATTTCTATTTAAATAAATCAATTCGGTTGATGTCTATAGCCCATCCATTCCATTTCCAATCATGCTTATCCCAGTGGGGTCGCAAGGGGTGCTGGTGCCACCCTGGACAGGTCTCCAGCCCATCGCAGGGAAACAAAGAGACAAACTGTCATGATTTAACTAAAGATCTGACCCAAATGCAGAAGACCAAACAGAGAGACCAGGGAAAAAGTTTAACAGGTTTATTTAGGAGATTGTGAAGAATCCAGTGTTGCTCTGAACACTGCTCAACCGGAACTGAAAGATGAGGGGAAGACATTGCGGTTAGTTCAGGCTGTGTGGAAATTAGATTTTTTAAGAGGCTGACTCACATTTCCAGAGAAGTTGTTGACTCTTTGATTTCAGTGTCTGATTCGGTGGAGGGCGGACAGGGTTTACCCATAATGCGGTTGTCTGTTGGTGAACGGAGAAGCTGGCTGCCACTCAGATTTCCTGCGGTACCTGAACGAGTCATAGTGGAGATGAATCCCTTGCTCAGTGTGAAGCTCAAAATGATCTCTTGAGGAAAAGTAAACTCAAACCTCCAGTTTAAATCCTCAACTCAGCTTGAAGCTCAGATTATCCTTCCAGGGAGAGAAGGTCCGAAAAAAATCCAGTTTGCTGGATGACTTCCTGCCGAGAGGCAAAGACAAAAAACAAGATTGAAACTCAGGTTGACAAGAACTCAGTTTGACTCAGCAAAACTCAGCTTGGCTAGAGTACCCAAAACTGGCAAACAGTCAGCAGGTTAAGAGCGCTCCGTTAAAGAGGCAACTCACAGCAGGTGTGTAGAGAGGTGGACCAGAATCAGGCGCCTCCAGGTGGAGGAAGGTAGACAAACACAGAAAAAACACACACACAGACAGGAATCCTGACACAAACAGGACAACCATTCATGCACCCACTCACACCTAAGGAGAATTTAGAGACGCCAATGAACCTAACAGTCATGTTTTTGGACTGTGGGAGGAAGCAGGAGTACTCGGAGAGAACCCACGCATGCTCAGGGAGAACATGCAAAGTCCATGGAGAAAGACCCTGCGCAGTGGCGTGCTTTGGTGGCGTAGTGGTTAGCGCACATGACCCCTGTATGGAGGCCTTAGTCCATGACGTGGCTGACGCGGGTTCTAATCCAGCCTGTGTTCCTTTGCCGCATGTCTCTCCTTCTACGTATACCCCCTTTCCCGTCAGCCTACTGTCCAAATAAAAAAAAACTAGTGCCATAGCCCTTAGAAAGACCCAGAATCTTCTTGTTGCAAGGCTACCCACTGTACAACTGAGGAGCCCTGATCTATAGCATTTTCAATTACATTTTTAATTTTAATCTAAACCGTTGTCTCAGGTAACTTTATGAGGTAACTGAATTTGATTGAATCGTGTTTTTAAAATACCTTAAAATGAAATGTGTGATCTAAAGGAGCCTGATAACTAAAAGATTCTTGAAAGTTGTTTGAGTTCTGATGTGTAGTATGCTAACATTTATTCCAATGATCCAATGTTTTTAAGAACAGCAGAACAAAACAAAGTAAAGTTGTAAATAAATAATAAAAGGTGGATTCAGTTCAAGCAAATAAAGGTGCTTCTATGAAACCTGCGGTATCTGCCCTCTAGTGGCCAAAGCTTGGCTCTGCTACTGTTTTCCCAAAGAGCAAACAACGACACAAGGGTTAATATTCTGACTGTGACATATCTGGTCTTTTTCCATTAATAACGATCGGGAAGGAAGCAGTCAGTAGTGAGAACTGAGGTTTTAGTCCAGCTCTGCTGAGAAGGAAGTATGTTTATGTTTGCACAGTTTGAGCTGCCCATTGTAACTGACCCCTCAGCCACTTCTAATCAGTGATAATCCCAGATCGGACTTCATCCTTCATCTGCATTAGCACTAATCTTATCTTTGACCCAGAATAATTCCTAAAAACCCAGGAATTATTCCAGCAATTTCAGTTTTAGCTTTCCGCATCAAAGGCACTGCCTGGTTACTGGAAGGTTATTCTGAGCTGTAATTAATAGAAGCCAGAGGATAACTTCATGGGACCAGAGACTTTAGCAGCTAGAGGCTAACCATAGCTTTAGCTGAGAGTGGCTAATCTATCAGAAGCTTAAACAAACTGTAATGTAAGAAGGAAGAGAGTTCTATCTCCCACAGTATACTTAACATGACTTTCATCATTAGATACTAGAAACCTTATTCAGTACCGTGCTGGAGAGAAGCCGCCCAAAAAACAGAATCACTCACTCATGGAAATGTTTAATATGCTATGTAACACGTTTTATATTTCAGTTATATTATGACAGGATCATGGTTATTACATCTCTTCAAAGATTAGATGAATGGTTATTATTATTGAGTGTCAGAACAGTAAAGGAAGAAATTAACTATTGAAAGAATTCCAGCTCAGATTGGAGTCTGAAGCCCCTCCCACTAAAACCTATCGATTTATTGAGGTCACAGCTATGTAGGGGATAAAAGAAACCCTGGCAGGGGGCTAATCATTCAAATGGAAGCTAAAACCAATTCATGATTATTAGATGAATGATTATAACAGTAATTTGCTTTCTCACCAGGTTTCTTAGTCTTTTACATGATGGCTGGACTCCTGGACTGGCTGTTAGAATCCAGTTAGCTTCACCAATTTAGTCATTTATGCTACGGCTATCAGCAAAGTTATTAATCACCAACCAAAGTACGGTGGATCTGAACTGAGTGATAAATCATTCACTGCATAAACTAACCACAAAAGACCATGAGCTAAAATACAATGGTACCTTTATAAGCTAATAATCCTCATCACTGTATCACTACATCTAAGACACTTAACACTACTGAAAATAAGCACAAGGAAATAAAAGCAAACACAAAGGGAAAAGGACGTGTAAGAGTCCGTTCAAAAGTCTCTGAGGAATGCTCTTTTTAAGGCTTCATGCATTCAAGGTGTCCTTTAATACATTAGCAATGTGAATAACTCTGATGCAGAGATATTAAATTTAATCAAAACAGTGAATACATAAAAATTTAGTTACAGTGGACAGAATGGATTAGTTCAGCTGGACAGGATATCTGGGTCAGATAGAACAAAAGAGTTAGAGAACTCACTGTCATGATTTTATCAAGAGCTCGGACTCATATGCAGAGAGACCAATTGAGAGAGACCAGGGGAAAGGTTTAACAGGTTTATTTAGGAGTTTGTGAAGAAACCAGTGTTGCTCTGAACACTGCTTAACCGGAACTGAAAGGTGAGGGGAAGACACTGCGGTTAGGAATTTTGATTCTCGAACTTGAAGAGGAGAATTTGGTAGATAACTCACGTTTCCAGAGAAATTGCTGACTCTTAGACTCAAGTCTGTTGTCTGATTCAGTGGAGGGCGGACAGGGTTTACTCAGAATGCAGTTGTTAGTAGGCAAACGGAGAAGCTGACTGCCACTCAGATTTCCTGCGGTACTTAAACGGATCGTAGTGGAGATGAATCCCTTACTCAGTGTGAAGCTCAAATGATCTCTTGAGGGAAAGTGGATTCAAATCTCCAGTTTGAATCCTTAGCTCGGTATGAAGCTCAGATGATCCTTCCAGGTAGAGAAGGTCCGAAACATACATCCAGTTTGCAGGATGACTTCCTGCCGAGAGGCAAAGACAAAAACAAGATTAAAACTCAGGTTGACAAGAACTCAGTTTGACTCAGCAAAACTCAGCTTGGCTAGAGTACCCAAAACTGGCAAACTCTCTGGCGTCGAGGTAGTAGCAGTCAGCAGCTTAAGAGCACTCCGTTAATGAGATAACTCACAGCAGGTGTGTAGAGAGGCGGACCAGAACCAGGCGCCTCCTGGTGGAGGAAGTGAGACAAACACAGAAAAAACACACACACAGACAGGAGTCCTGACACTCACAAAATGGCTGCTACCATAGGGGTAGCTTGGAGCTAACGATGCTAGCGAGTACAACTGTAGTAGCTTAGCTCTTCAAACAAATAGAAAAAGAGAAATTAAGCAGACAGTAACACACAGCATGGATTGTTCAGTCAGGCTCAGTTAGCATTAGCATTCAGTCCAGAAATCTGACAAAAAAACCATCAGTCGTTGAATCAGAAGCTTCTTCCAAATAAAACACAAACAACACCTGTAAAAGATCTATTCTACTCGCCAAGCAGAGCATTTATCTAGCATCAGATGAGAGGATGGGCTTTATTTGTTGGCTCAGTGGAATGGAGGATGGGAAGGGTGGTTACTGTCCGCTCAGGTTCGGTTCTGCAGCCTTGAAAAAGGGTGTCCCCTTAAGGCAGTGGTTAGCTTGTAGCAGCCGCTCAGACGGCAGCAGCACAGCTACAAACAGCAGGTGGACCAATGGATCATGGTCCAGCAGTTTAACAGTTCAAAACCGTCCCAGAATCGTGTGGCACGGATCAGAGGCTCCTAGCGGCTCCTCTGCGGACAGCAGTTACGTCACTGTTCAGTCCGTCGACCAAAATTGGATAGTTTTCTCATCTACTTCAGCAGGCAGGTTTAAAAAAACTGAGTTCAATTTAGTTTAAAACGCAGGAAAAGACATTACATTCATCTCCTTGATGTCATCTCCTCTGAGTCGGCCATCGAGCACAGACTCCTCTACAGAGATAACCTGGTAGCTACATATGTTACTTCAGGTGGAACACCGGCGTATGTTTCCCGTATTAAGGCCTCAAATCCACAGACAAATGAAGCTGGGTGGGAGTCGGCTGCACCGGTCCCTCATGGTTCCCCCTGCAGGTGGTGGGCCCACCGGGGGATGGCCTTGCGTCGCTCCTTCGGGCTGGGCCCGGCTGGGTCCCGCGAGGAAGAACCCGACCACCAGGCGCTCGCCGACGAACCCCAACCCCAGGCCTGGCTCCAGGGTGGGGTACCGGCTCCGCCATACCGGGCAATGTCGCGTGCCTTGCTGTAGTCCTCGTCTTAAGGGTTTTTAAAACCGCTCTTCGTCTGACCTGTCACCCAGAGCCTGTTTGCCTTGGGAGACCCTACCAGGGGCATTTAGCCCCCAACAACATAGCCTCTGGGACCCAGGCACTGAAACCCCTCCACCACGTTAAGGTGGCGGTTCAAGGAGGGGAGAGGCTAAGTGTAGAGCCGGTTCTCCTCCACATCGAGAGGAGTCAGTTGAGGTGGCTCGGACATCTCCTTCGGATGCCCCCTGGATGCCTCCCTCGGGAGGTGTTCCAGGCACGTCCCACCAGGAGGAGGCCCAGGGGGCGACCCAGGACACGCTGGAGAGACAATGTCTCTCGGCTGGCCTGGGAGCGCCTAGGGCTTCCCCCAACATTGCTGGAGGAGGTGTCTGCGGAGAGGGAAGTCTGGGAGTCTCTGCTTAGTCTGCTGCCCCTGCGACCCAGTTCCAGATAAAGCGGGAGACGACGAGTACGAGTATATGGCTTAAATGCAGCAGCAGTTGAAAATGTTGTTATCAACAGTTCTGGAGATTGTTTCATTACCACCTGCTAGGAATTCAATGCCAAACGGTATACTTTATTTTTTTATTCCAATATCAGAAATATTAGCATCCACTGATGATGCTAGCTTCTTAAACAAATAAACTGTAGTGAGCTGATATGATGGTATTGATCTCCCACTGATCTTAATAATGATAATCTAATCCTAGCATTTTCTTTTTAAGGTCCTAACCTTTATCAAATTGCTTCCTTGTATCTTTATTTAACTTTGCCATTGTGTTTGTTTGTTTTTCTTTCAGTGTGCAGCTCAGAGCCTGAGAGCATCCAGGTAGCTCCCCATAACCTCAGCAGTATGCTGGTGGTATGGGAGCGTCCCCGGGCAGTGCACGACACCAACATCGAGAGATACTCCATCACCTACCGGCTGGCCAATGCAAAAGAGTCTGCCTTCTCCGAATACCTGACTGACGGATACCAGGATACGGTGAGTAATGGTCCAAAGGCTAATGTCTGTTCTTAGCCTCACAGGCTCCAAACGAAGGTCTTGAGAGATAATGAGTTTCACAGCTTCCTTCATGGCATGAAGGCGAGGACTGCTGTTTTGAGGAGATCCATCTGGCAACTGAAAGATATATTAACCTAACAGGGAACGGCTTTGATGAAATCAAGTTGTTTTTCCCCCAAATGGTCAAGTGTGAGAAAGTTCTTGATGCAGGGGGTGGGTTGGTTCCCCTGGGGGGTGTGTGTGTTGGGATTTGTTTAAGGTATAAATGCATGTACTGAGGTTGCCTCAGTCAGGGCTCTATCTCTCCGTCTGAGGACGTTAAATACATTTGAACCTTTTTTCTTGCAAGAAATGCCTCTGCCTCAGCTTCCTAACTCCACAGGCCCAACTAACTCACACTTTAAAACACAAAGAGTAGAGGAAGAAGCTCCATTAGCTAACAGTTTACTATCAGCATCATCTTAAATGCATTACCCGATTAGAAATGTAACTAAATCGTCAAACAGAGATACATATTGAGACAAACCACAAAGAGTCCTTTCCATTGAAACAGCAGCTTTGGCCTTACACTCTGGTGGTATCAGGGATAGAAAGCTAACCTACCAGTTGATGCATGCCTTACCTCACCAGACTATAAAAAAGAAAATGCTAACTTTGGCATCACAAATCACGTGGATTTTTTATAATCAAAGCAAATCTCTCCTGTCACCACCAGGGGGCAATACTTGATGACCTGTTGCCCAACAACACCTACGAGATCCGTGTGGTGGCCATCTGCTCCAATGGCCTGCGTGGACGTGTGAGTGACTCGCTGACAGTTGTCATGCCCATCGACGACCCCGGTAAGAGCAACCAGGCCCGACGGCAAGCGTAGAAATCTCTGCCTCTGCCCCCGTGTTACGTTTAATGTCAACTCAGAGACACTAAAACTGACCATAGTAACTCCTTTACAGTTTTTAACCTTTGATAGGAAAGTCCTATTCAATTCAATTCAATTCAGTTTATTTATATAGCGCCAAATTCACAACACATGTCATCTCAAGGCACTTTACAGTTCAACCAGATCATACAGTCAAATTGATACAAAGTTTTCTATCTAAGGAAAACCAGTTGATTGCATTGACTCATTGACTCAAATACAATCCCCCACACTAAGCATGCTTGTAGCGACAGTGGAGAGGAAAAACTCCCTTTTAACAGGAAGAAACCTCCAGCAGAACCAGGCTCAGTGTGAGCGGCCATCTGCTGAGGCCGACTGGGGTTCAAGGAGACAGAAGCAGAGATACAAAAAGCAGCTGTAAAAGGCGGCCCCGTCCAGGAAACACACAGCCAGGCAGACGAGCTCCAAGGCAGCTCCCATGCCAGAGGACGAAGAGAGCACATCCACTCAGTCACGGCCAATCTAGACACGGTTGATCTATGTCAAAATTCTGATGTCATATTTGGAACAGTGCTGAAGTGGAAGGCAGTGGGTCCTCATCTTTTGCTCCGAACTAAGAGAAGAAGTCTTTTTGCCTTCCAGCACTTTGGATTGCATGTCCTGCATGACTCAGAGCTCAAATATCCAATAGATGAACTAGTTTGCTTCTTTCACTTTGGTTAATTTATCATTATGAAGAAATTATGGCAGCCTTTTCTTTATTTATTTAGGTTAACCTGAAGTCTTTCTTTGACTGAGAACACACCTGCTGTCTCACCACTGAGCGTGACCTCGGTTTTAAAATGTTATAAATTTTCTTGAAAAACAACCCATAAGGAGGGATTGAACACATCCTCAGCAGGCAATATTAACACCCAACCGCTGAATTCCAAAATACAACAAATAAACACATAGATACAGGAAAACACATACACTGATGCTAAGACAACACTGTTAGCCACACAAGTAAACTTTCAAATTAAAATTCTGCACTTACCAATATTATTCAGTTAGACCTAATTTTCTGAATTCCTCTAGCGGGTATCATGCAGTAATGAGCAAGCTTAACAGTATCACTGCTCTACATGCCAGACGCATTGAACCAGATGATAAAAGGTTAAATGAGCCTCACTTCATGAAGCCAAAAACATCACTTCAGTCCAACGTTTGCTAACTACTGAGCACGCTGTGATTTAACGTGTCCATTTTGATTTTTGTCTTTTCTAAGTGCCATGATTTTTAGTCCAGGACTGTTTCAGGAGTTTTTCTAGCTCATTCTGTTAAAGCATGGTGGAAAGCAGATGTCTGAGTTTCAGTTTTTTTTTTTTTTTGTTTCATAGAATTCTTATTTATTATTATTGCTTCTTGCTTGAAGAACACTAAATTATGATAGTCCAAATAATGTTCTTTAACTTTTTACTTAAAGATTGTTGAAACATGATTGTTGAAGGACTGATGGTGGATTTAACAGTGAAGAAATGTTCTTTTGTTCTGACTCGTTTGTTTTACTTTCCTGCTGAACTTAATGCTTCTTCTTTTTCACCTTGTTTTTCTTTATCTTCCTGCCCATCTTCCTCTTCCTGCTCTCTCTGGGCTGTTTCTATATTTTAATGCTAAAGCAATGATTGATCTAAAAGCAATTTCTTCTGGTAACTGATGCTAGCCTGACTCTGGACTCCTCCTATGACCTCCTTCTATATTAGATCAACCAGCCAGGCTTAGCTTGCGTCTATTGGGCCATCTTCCATCTTTTCCTTCATATTTTCTTCTGCTATCTGTTCCTTCTGACACTTTTAGTGAGATAAATGTCTGTATGTTTCTCTGCATATATATATATATAACTTGTGATTTTGAATATTTCAGTTGATATTTATTTTCAATAAATTATTAATTTTGCCCATGTTAAATAAAAACAACAACTCTATTTCAGTGTGAGTAAGGAGCATTTGGATTTAGAGAAACTGCAAAATGGATCCTTAGAGTTAGTTTCAAAAAATGAAAGCTAAAATCAATAGAAAAAAAAAAAAAAAAAAAAAAAAAAACTTTCAGTTTCACATTTCTGGGCCTGCTTTCCTGACCAACAGGGACTCTACCAGGTGTTGCATTCAGGAATGGTGGGAACTAATTTTTAAAACATTGATATTCATTCTTATTTACCGTATTTTCACGACTATAAGGCGCACTTAAACGTCTTTTTTTTCCCTCAAAATGTGCGTTGCGCCCTTTGGTGCGGTGCGCCCTATGTGTGTTGTAACTGCGACTTTTGAGACCACCTCATTGAGGAGATGATGAAAGAGTGGCTGAATGTAAGGAGACCAGGTGTTTTTTTTTCCACTCATCACCATCGCTGTTAATATGTAACTCCATGCGTGCCCATCTCACAGCTGATGTGAAAAACATGGGGAAACAAATTAACCCTGTGCTCGCTGTTCAACCGCTCAACATTGGTGTGAACCGGACCCAGCAGGTGCAGCAGAAGCAGCGAGTTTACATGCAAAGTCAATGGTTGACGCGCGTATAGGTGCAGCAAAAGGTCCCGCAGCGCGTTTTGAGCAGCAGGTGCAGCGCGTCGGGAGCGTTTAAGCATCTGACGCACCGCCAACGCGCTGCTGCTGCTCGAGATGGAAAAATTTAAGTTTTGCTGCTGGACGCGCCGCATCAACCAATCAGAGAAGCTGATCTGGGAGCTGACAGCGAGACAGACACAGCACTCTGATGACATATGATATTAACGCAAATGAAAAAGGCTGGATGGATGGGGAAATGATGAAAGCGTGGCTGAGGCAGGTGTATGTGAGGAGACCAGGTGGTTTTTTCCACGCATCACCATCGCTGCGTGCCCATCTCACAGCCGATGTGAAAAAAAAAGGTGAATCAAATGAACGCTGTTATCCCGGGGGGTCTGACAAAGGAACTTCAACCGCTCGACATCGGTGTGAAGCGGCCGTTCAAAGTAAGGCTGCGAGCGGCGTGGGAGCGATGGATGACAGACGGAGACCACAGTTTCAGGATAAGTGGAAGGCAGCGCCAGGCAAGTTACGCCACCTTTAGCGGATGGATTGTAGATGCTTGGACTAACGTGTCTGCTGGCTCTGTTGTTCAAGCTTTCGCAAAAGCCAGCATTATTTCCGAGGAGCCGCGCTGCACGGAAAGTGACTCTGACAGCGAAGAAGGGGAAATTGGCATGTCTGATTTAGCGCAGCTGTTTAATTCAGAAACAGAGGATGATGACTTTGATGGGTTTGATTAATACTTTGTAATAAATACATGAATAAAGCACAGTCATACTCAGTTTTGCTCCCGCTGTATTTTTAAATACGCAGTAGAGGTATTTAAAGGTAGTAGAGGACATGTACCTGTATATAAAAAACGCGCCCTATAGTCCGGTGCGCCTTATGTGTGTGTTAAATACAGAAATGGGACACATAACTGAGACTGCGCCTTTTAGTACGGTGCGCCTTATGGTCGTGAAAATACGGTAATTGGCTTTAATGCATTAAATGCTTCATTCATGTTGGCTGTTAAAGTAAAAAGTATATATTTCACTTTCAGAAAAAGCAATACAAATGTAATTTCATGAAATCTAAACAGATTGTTTCTTTTGAAAGAGATGCTTTGGTTTTTATAAGGAAAGACAAGCTATGAGTCATTAGCAGATAAATCTCACATCTCAGATTTTTATTCCCCCAAAGGTTGAAACTTATAGCAAGCCTGAGCTAAAACTAAAAAAAGTGAAGTTCCACCGACTTAAACTAACAGCAGACTCAAATGTAATCACAGTTCATGTTTATAACAATTTATAAGATGCTTTTCAGGACAGACCAACAACAAATATAATGGCAAAGTTTGGTCTGTAACAGGAAACTGATCCATGAGACAGCTAATCCAACCATAGTAAAATCTGAATATTCCTGCACAAAAAAATAAGTTACAAATTATTTAAAATGTGAGAAACATTTTAAAGTTAGTTCTATGCAGGACCAGCAGGTTCTGCAACAGCTTCTTCCCCACCGCCATCAGACTGATGAACTGTTGAGAAACTCTAAAACATGTCACAGACTCTGCATCACACTGATAACACCAAACCAAAACACTGCATGTTTGCACCATAGATATTAAGCTTACAGCCTAAATGCACCATAAACAGATGAAAAAATAGATGGACGGTTCAGATTTAATAAAAATAATCATCTGTGTCCTAAGATTAGATAAGTTTGTTTCATAAAAAAATGCAAACATTTTGATGGTTTTAGATTTGAATGAATCCAGCTTTTCCATGAATCACTTTAAAAAACCAAACAGCAGCAAAATACCAGACATATATCAAAATAAAGTATAATATAGTGCATATATATATAAATGATCACTGAGAAGGAACGCATCTTTACTGTTTATGGATAGAATGGTCAAAGCCCTGCTGATCTGATACCAACTTATACACCAATAACTAAACGGGCTGGATTCCTCTCCTGTTTTTCTTTGTTTTTCTGATCTCAGATCGTCCAAATTTGAGCTCATGTCAAATAATTTAATCCAGATTGATTGATGTGATGAAGCTGTAAAGATTATTGGAAAGATGCTTTAATTTACTGGATTTCCTTTTTCATCTGGATCACAACAATAAGTTGAAATCAGTTCATGGTCAAGATGAGGCTTTTAATGGCTACATATGCAGCATATTAGCTAAAGCTTTTGGGTCTCCTGCGTTTGTAAACAGATTAACTTTAAGCACCTCCCGTTATCTACAGTATGCACAGACACTACTGTGACCCAAAAACTGTTAATGAGGTAAGTGTGTTTTGGAGAAGTTATGGTCAGATTCTGGTCGTGGATCAGATAGCCGTACCCAAAAGCTCTGCTCTGGTTATCTCAGTCATGTCATGTTGGGTTGAGTACGTGACACTGTGCAGACCAGCCATGGTCCTCTACACCAGGGGTGGGCGATTCCAGTCCCTGGCGGCTGTTATCCTGCAACATTTAGATCCATCCTTGGTCCAAAACACCTGAATCAAATGGTTGAGTTACCTTCTCAGTATGCAGACAGTTCCTCCAGAGTCCTCTCAATCATCTAATTCCTTGATTCAGGTGTGTTGAACCAAGAGCAGATCTAAAAGTTGCAGGATAGTGTCCCTAAGGAACTGGAATTCCCCACCCCTGATCTACACAGAGTATGAGCTCCTGAAAGCCAGGCCTGCTCCATGACCCTCTAACCCAGCTGGAGAGCAGCTCATCCTTCCAGGTCTGTGCTGGGAACGCTGGGTTTTCTACAGCTGTGGTAATGAAAAGGATTGGAAGGTGTGAACTCTGGGATTTTTGGAAGGTTGCCCAATACTTTAGGTAATATGATAGAAGGTTTATTTTCAGTATTATTTGCAGCCTTTTTGTCCAAACCCTCAGTAGTTCAGCCCTAAAGCCCCTTTTAAAGCCCTTCATGCTCTACAGACCAGTCGCTCTTCTGGTCTCCATGATGTGTAACTTAGCCTTAGAAAGGTAAGGGTGCAAAGACCCACTTCTGCCCTGAAACCCTTCTGTGTCCTGTGATCCTCTGAGTTTTTCCCCCTCCTGATCCAGACATGGAGAGTCAGAAAAAAGACATTTAACTCGTTTTAAGCGATTTTTAGAGAGGTGTTTGTTTCTGCTTGCAGGATTATTCTGATCTTTGCATGACCACGCCTTTCTTTCCTGCATGTTTTTGTTTATGTTTGATACATTTTCCTAAAAGATCCCGGCATGTGAATTAGGATATAATGAATGTTGCTGCCTCTGTGAACCTAGCTTTAATACGCTCCATCTTTTCATCTTTTCATCAGTTATTTTTAATCCTGCCTTATTTATCCAAACCAATGACTTCAGGATTAAGGCTCTTGACTGTTCACTATTTATCAATCAACTGTTGTAATTTTCTTTTTCAATTGGTTGATCTTTCTCTGCTTGTCACTTGTTCCTCTTCTCAGAAGACGCTCTGGATCCAGGTTCTGAAGAAACTGACTTTGAGGTAAGCTAACCTGACTCCTGTTTTTCCATGCATGCCGTCACCATTGCCATTAACTCCTTTCAATCTCCATTTCCACAAACAGGACTATAATGAGCCTGACTTCTCCTGGAATGAGGTGGACCCAACTGAGAACAACTATTTGGAACGGGTTCTTTCAAATTCACCCAGGACTACAACATCAGCACCACCTTTGTTTCTCCTGCCTGGAAGTCGAACTCCGACAGGAAAGTCCAGTGAGGGAGCCACCATTGAACCGGCTGTGATAGCGAGCCAGTCTGCTGACGTTTTAAGGCCTTCGGAGGAGATGGAGAAGCACAGTACTTCCTTACAACCACCAGAGGATGCCAGAGAGGGTCCGGGTGTTGGAAGCAACAGTCTCTTCTATTACGGAACAGAAGATCCACTCACTTCAAGTACTACCCCTCCGCCCCTCCCCTATACAGACACAGATGGAGGCCTTGATGGGGAAAGTTCATCTGAAAAAGGAAGAAGCGGTTTAAGCACCTACCCTGTAGCCCCTGACATGCAGGCAGAAGCTACCAAGGCTGTTTCTCAGCATCCAGCCACAGTGTCCCCTACTGACCAAGACAATGGTGGAACATCACCGTCCGCCTTCATGCCAGCAGAGACCCAAGCCGTAAACCCGGACAGCACCAGAGATTCTCTTCAGGTGGAGATATCGGCCTCCACAGAAGGTGTCCACCATCGAGCCACAAGCTCCAGCCTTCCTTCTTTTTCCTCCACAGCTCCCTCTGTCATGCTGAGTGGCATTGTGGTGGAAGCCACGCAGTCGCTGTCAAACGGTGAGAGCAGCTCTGTCTTCCCCTCCTCCTCCCCTCTGTGTGACTCCTTGGATCCGAGCGCAGCTCCTTCTGCTCGCTTGCATGACTCCTCCTTCCTGTGGCCTGTGTTGTCAACCAGTAATCCAGACTCCCAGCATGCTGCCACTGGGTCTCTGTCTAGCAAAGAACTGGCTCCTACTTCTACCCCCCTCCTCCTGTCTTCCACCCTGCCTCACCTCCCTCACCCCTCAGCCTCCCTGCCTGGTCCCACGGTGAACTCTTTGTCCTCTGACCTTGGGTTTGGGGGGTAGAGATAATGATGTTTTGTTGTCTGGGTCTTCAGGTGATTTCTCTGTACTCGGTAAAACCCCTCCACTCGAAACAGTTTGGGACTTGGCACACTCCAGTGTCTCAGCTGAACTGTCCGACTCGATGGATGTTTCCTCCTCAATTCTCTCTCTTTCTTTCAGCCCTTCCTTGCAGCCTTCAGTTCTGTTTTCTAGGGATTTCACTTATTCTGTTGCTATTCTGGGCTCGTCCGAACCGAAAACAACCGGCTTCCAGGACTCCAGGTTTGCCAAAGGCAGCATGACTGAGTCTGTAGTTCCTGAGTTCAGTGGTGATGGGTTTCTCCTAGCAAGCGACGTGGAGATGGTGTGTGGCTGTTCTCTTGAGACGTCGGTACCTTCATCCTGGTTGCATACCTCTGCACATGCACCACTGCCATCATCAGCCAAGAGCTCCACTGGTTTGGGATTTTATTCCAGCTTGGTTCTGCTTCCAGCTTCTAGTGTTGAAGTAGAAACCTTTCCAACATCACTAGAAGGTGTGGGCTTTCCTGGCCTGTCTTTGGACCACTCTCTGCAGTCACATAGTGCCAGCTCACTATCACTGTCCTCTCCTCAGCTTCTCCAGCCCACCCATAGTCACCATCGTCTTTCTGTTACAGCCACATTTTCTGCTGCTACGGATTCTGATCTGTCAGCACCAGAGAGCAGCACCCCCTCTCAAACCTCTGCTCTCTACTTCCCAACAAACACCTCTCCGTTTACCCAGACTCCAGAGGAGCAGGTGTCTGACTTTAGCAGCAGCACCTCCGGCTCGGCTTTCCTCCCCGACTCCCAGGAAGGAGTAGACCAGGAGTGGGAAAAGGGTCAAACATCAGCCTCCGGCATCAGCCCCCTCCCTCATTTAACCAAAGTGGTGAGCTCTCTCCCTCCCTTCATGACCCTGGAATCGGGTCAGAATCCAGATGATGTGGAAGAACACTCCTCAGCCTTTTATTTTGAAAGCGGCAGCGCCATTGATCCAGAAGTGGAAGGTAAAGCGGCGCCGACCGCTTCAGAGGTGACCTCAGGTTCAACCTGGCCCCTGGGGGGGCCGGAGGACAGCGGCTCAGGGCAAGCCGAGGGTCTCGGGGACAATGAGACATCCTCTGACTTCAGTATTTCAGGACGCCCAGAAACAGATCCTGAGGAGGAAGAGCCTGTTTCAGGTAAAAAATAAAAATAAAAAATCGCCCATGAATGAGAAACCAATGAGAGCAGCGAAATCCAGAGCTGCTCCAAGATCTGTGGACATCCCACACTCCCTTTATCCTAACCTTTGATCTGCAAAGATAATAAAGGAAAACGTATTTACACCCAACAACAAAGAACATCATTATCTATATTATGAATCTGTGTGTTTTATCTTTGATTCATGCTTAGAAACATGCTTAAAACAGACCTTTTTATCAATTAATTGTCAGAGATGAAAATGTTGTTAAATGTTTAAGGAATACATCTATCTATGAAAGTGTATACATTTTCACTTTAAGACATTCACATGTCCAACAGGTTTGTTGCTGTTTTAAAGGCCAAAAGAAGGTAGAAAATGACCAGTACAGCTCTAGCCTTACCTGACAGGGCCACCAGAGGGCGGTAGAGCTCCATCCTATCAGATCATCAACCTGCTGTGGTAGATATTTGGATAGATTTTTTAAGTTCATCTAACTTCGCCGATGGTTGATAACTGGGGAAACTGGTTTAGTTATTAGAAATCTTAAATATGTTTAAACCTGTTTAGCAAATGTCTCCTCTGTCGTTTGAATACAAAGGCAGAGTTTCAGGAGGCATTAACAAAATACAATAGTGGCTATTTAAAATGTCCACTTTCCTTGATTGGTCCTTGGCTGGTCCCCTACATTTCCTCTTTAAACATCAATCTTTGTATAAAATGATCTTTCTGTCATGATTAGTGGACATTAAGATCTAAAGAGAAGTGCCATCAGCTGGTCAGACCCTCTAATTCAGTGAAAGGGTGGAGTCAGAGTAAAAAATGTGCAGGAAAGGGTCACTGCAGTGGCTGGAAGTTGGAGGGGATTTAGCTGTCATTCGGCTGGCTTTTGACTGGGAAGGGTCATTTTGAATGGCTGCTACTGGAAATCACATCATTAAAGCAAAGCTGTGTAACTTTTGACCAAGAATTTACCTATTTAACGTATTCATTGTTGCTTTACAAAAACAAATGACCTGTTCTCTGAGAAAGTTTTTCTCTGTAAGTTCCAGAAACTGCAGGTTTTAAAAAAAGATGAATAAAAAGATTTCCCCTTTTGTTTTCCCAATCAGAACTTATCCACCATGGTCGGTCAACCCTTCCCTCCATCAGAGCAGGAGGGGTTACCTTCCAGGTCAAACGGGAAGTATTCACCCGGTTGCCATGGCGAGCATCTGAAGGTGTACTGCAGGAATAAACCAGCTGCTCTACTTAGTGCAGACGTGGGGCATTGTGAAGTATTGTCAGTTTTATCATGTTTTCCTCACTCTCTGACTTTAAATCATTTATATTTGCTAAATGAAAAGAGTCTAGATTAATATCTGTCCTCAGTCAGAGCACTGTGTCCTTAATAGCATTACTTACTGAAACTCTTAGAGGGTCTTAGAGGTGAATGTTTGAAATCTGCATATTAGAGGCTTTAAAAGTTGTGACATCATCATCTTAACGGCAAAGAGAAAACTTAGTTTCTATAAACCTCCGACTTTGATGAAAAGTTATGCATGCTCAGAGTGAGCGATTGCTGCTGAGTCAATCACCCAATCCTAGCGCCTGTCCACTGTAGCTACATGCTCATCCAGGAGGAGGGTTTGCTCCTCCTGGAGCAGGCATAATGCTTAAAACTTCTCACAATCTGTGGCATATAAGAAGCTCGGCTTGTTTTCTGCAGTTTACTGAAACGTTGTCATGACTTCCTGTAGGATTGGTTTCTCCACCTCACCTTCATTTTCACACTGAATGGTGGTGAGCGTGCAGCAGACAGTTTGGTTTCAGGTTCTGGGAGGCAGTCTGCTGATGGTAAGGCAAGGCAAGGCAAATGTATTTGTATAGCACAATTCAGTACAAAGACAATGCAAACTGCTTTACATGTTTAAAATATAGGAAAATAAAACAGAATCAAAGCAAGTAGGAAAAAAATAAAATAAAAAATGCAGAAACAAAAAAGAACATTAAAAACAGTTGGACTAAAGAAAAAAAAAAAGTTGAACTAATGATGTTTCAGTTGAACTGTTTAACTAGAACAGTGGAAGGCAATCCTAAACAAATGTGTTTTTAGTCTTGATTTAAAGGAACTCAGGATTTCCGCACTTTTAGTTTTTTCCAGATAAGTGGAGCATAGGAACTAAATGCTGCTTCTCCATGTTTAGTTCTGGTTCTAGGTATGCAGAGCAGGCTGGAGCCAGAAGACCTGAGTGGTCTGAAGGGTTGATACACTGATAGCAACTCTGTGATGTATTTAGGGGCCATTCAGAGATTTATAGACTAACATAAGTATTTTAAAGTCTATTCTCTGAGATACAGGGAGCCAGTGTAAGGACTGTAGAACTGGGGTGATGTGCTCTACTTTCTTAGTCTTAGTGAGGACACGGGCAGCAGCGTTCTGGATCAGCTGCAGCTCTCTGATCCACTTTTTAGGCAGATGGTAGCCGGTGTTCTGTCAGACCAGCATACCCATAGTCAATACCCATTTATCCCTTTAGTTTTGCACGAAAAATGCACTTTAAACTACCTCAACAGGTGTGTATCCTGTGGAGTGAAAAATGTTAAGATATGTCTGTTTTTAGCCTCACAGGCTCCAAACGAAGGTCATGAGATCTGAATGAGTTACACAGCCTCCTTCATAGCATGAAGGGGAGGACTGCTTTTCTCAGAAGATCCATCTTTGGCCAGGGAAATATATATGAACCTAACAGCGAACGCCCTTCATGAACTCATAGTTGTTTTGCTTCGATGTTCAAGTGTGAGAAAGTTCTTTATGCAGGGGGTGGATTGGTTCCCCTGGGCGGAGTGTGTGCTATTTTGTAAGGTATAAATGTATATACCGAGCTTGCCGCAGTCAGAAAGATCTATTTCTCTGTCCGAGGACGTTAAATAAATGTCAACCTTATTTTTTGCAAGAAATGCCACTGCCCAAGCTTCTTTACTCCACAGTCCCTTTAGTCATGTTCAAAAAAACTATTTAATTACTTACTTTTTGGTGTTTTTTGAAGCATATGGCGATCTGACCTTAAATAATTTTTTTGGTAGATGACTAAAGGTAGTTTTAAGTTTATTTTTTGTACAAAACTAAAGAGATAAACGTGAATAAGAAAATCTTGCGCATGCGTATTGACTCTAGGTATGCTGGTCTGATAGAACAGCGGCACGGTCTGCAGATAAACAGGCTGATGGTGACAGGGAGGTTCTTTAGAATCCCAGAGAATCCCAGAACCGTTTAACCACCAACCGGAGGATGTTTTATAGTTCATAGACATACCAGTCCAAATGAAGGAGCCTTGGGCTCAGTGTGAACACATGTCGCTGTTATTGCTCTAGTTGGGTGAGTTCTGGAAGGGGATTTTTTAAAGATGTTCTGGAACCCTTTAAGCCCTTTGCTGGAAAATCACGCCTTCTACACAGAGTATAAGGACCAACTTTAGCTGATATCTAAACGTTAAAGAAAGAAGAGGTCTGTCAGAGATAGAGTTCACCTTCCCTGTCTCACATCCAGCCACCTTTGTTCCTCTCCCCAGATGCCAGTAACAGCAGCCATGAGTTGAGGGTGGGCTCCATGGGGGAGAGAGAGAGGAAAGCTGTGGTTCCTCTGGCCGTCATTTCGTCTCTCACTCTGCTGGGCCTGGTGGTCCTCATGGGCATCTTCATCTACTGGAGGTCAGTACCACTGCAGGTGCATCAGGAAAACCTTCCAACACTGGAATACATTACAGCTTTCTATTTTTGTATTTAGGAGTGGGCTGAAAAGGTTTCATATTTGGATGATTGTAGAGCTATTATATCACCTAAAAAGAAAGGTTAACCTCTTGAGCCCGGCGGGCCCGGTACCAGCCCAACTGACACCAGCTGATATCTATTTATAGAAATGGCCAAATCACAGTCACATGGTGTTTCATCCACACTCCTTTCAAATGGGGCTTTAAAAATTTCTAAAACATGTTTCAAAATAATTTTTTCGCAAGTACTTTATGTTTTATAGCTGTGTAAACAAATAAAATGAGATTTAAAATTCCACCTGACATGTGTGACTCTGCAGGAGTGATGCAACAGCAGGTATTTTTTTACCTAATGGCCGACATCTTTGGAAACTAGAGGCTCAGACCTTTCCAAGGAGATATTATTGGTAAATTTCAATGAAACAACGGCTAAATCTTAGGAGCAAAGGCTTTCACTGGAAAAAAAATCAAAATCTAGATAAGTCCTTTTTTCTTAAAATAAGTGAATTTGATCGAGGAGGTAAAAAATGCCAATGGAACCAGACAATTTATATTTAAAATAAGAAACACAATTGCATTGTCTTGTTTCAAGTGCATATTATTTCATGATCTTATTTTAAGACTAAAAATGCTCACTCCATCGGCAAACTATCTCATTTACCTACTCAAATTAAGGGTAAATACACTTAATTTAAGGAATTTTTACTTATTTCTAGATTGTTTTTGCCTTATGCAGAAGGTCTTCAATAATGTAAATCAGATATAATGTTTGTCTGACCAGATTACCTTTTATGAGTGGAAAAATACATTTTGGCATTCTGCAAAAAAAATCCCATTTCCTCCTAGCACTCTGTTCACTAAAACCTTTGTGGAACAAACATGCTTCAACTTATTCAGTCCAAATTAGCTTGAGTTCTAGTCAAGATGTGGATCTATAACATCTGAGGGTTAATCCAGAGTTTCTAATGGGCTTTCATGGTGTTTTGCAGTTTATTTTGGAGCAAAATGTTGGCGAGGCTAAATATTTTTCTTTTTTTAATGTTTAATCACCTATAAATCAGACATTGTTACATTTGAAATAGTGGTTCCACCTGAAAAATATTCATCAACGCCTTTCTGTCACACAAATACAAACAATTATATTTTCAATTTATAGTTTGGGAGCTGAACTTGATTTCGTTTACATATGTAGTTTCATGCAGAAGCGGCTCCTAAGACCCTCATGGCTTACGGCTTATGTGAGGAAATGTCTCCATTACACATTAAGTTATTTCATAAACTTCTTTTCTATATTCCCTCTTTAGTTTCTTCCCTCCTCATAATCCTGCATGGAATAACCCGCCCTGTTCCAGCCACTTAACCTGAGATCAACCATGCTGGAGAAGATTCTCAGTCATCCAGGTCATCGTCATTCCAAAAAAGTTAAAAAAAACAATCCACTGGACTTGGTTTTCATGTTTGAAGACATGTGTCTTCCCATCCAGGAAGCTTTTTTAATTTAAAATGTCAGAAATAGCGTTGAATTTGAAACCCGAGTCCAGTGGATTGTTTTTTTTATTAACTTTTTTGGAACTGTGATCCATCATGTTTTTGTTTATAAGGAAAAAATAACAAATTTCATTCATTCCTTTAAGGTAAACAATTACTGCCCTTGTTTCTGTTTCACGCCGACCACCAGAGGGCAGCAAAGGTTTTCTGTGACTGTGGCTGGTCTGGATGGTAAATCTAGGTTTATGCTGAAAACAGTCTAATCTTAAATACAGTAGGATACACAGCATCTTAAATAGGATAAATGCAAAGCTAAAAAATCCATTTCATTAACTCAAACTGATCAAGGTTTTATGTTAAAACAAGAAATATGAATTTACACCAAAATGACAAAAGAACAAAACCCCAAAAAGATGCATAAATATAGAAATATTTGATCATTTCAATAAAAGGTTTGCATCTTTGAGGAGGAAACTCATTTTCAGGTGGAGTGTTTATTAATAATTATTTTGTCATGACTGAATTTCTTCATTTAGAGCAGCTTTAACTCTGCATCGCTGCAGCATAAAGTTTCAAACTTTTTATCCTCATGTCTAAACAAATGACACAAACATTTAATGATTATCTTTCATTCTAATCATTTCATAACTCACAATCTTTTAAAATAAAAAACAAACACATCCTAATGTTACATAATATCAATTAAAAAAACTAATTAAATGTAATATTTACCCAATGACACGTAATGCATCATACCCAGTGGAATATGACGCACAGTGAGGCTCCTTTATCAGCTTAAAGCACTTTTTTTCAAACAGGCTTTTAATGGTTTGAAGTATACTTTCATGAAGCTCCTATTTCTCTATTAAACATGTGCTTTGTTTGGCTGCAGTGTTTTACTCTTGAATGTCATGTTTTTTCAGTCCTAATTAACAGATTTAAAGACATGAAAACATCAGAAATTAATCTATATGTTTCTCTTAGAGTTACTGGAATAAATCATCTTTTCACTGATGAATAAAACAGGCATTTATGCTTGAAGCAAAGCAAAAAGATTAAAAGCTTGATGTTGAATTTCTTAATGAAGTGATGAATGAAGTGTTTTTTCTATCTAATGACTAAAATCAATCTGGAGAATGATTGATCAGACAGACTTTTACAGCAGTTTACTGTAAAACCTTTGTTCTCACTCTCAATAGAAAAAAAGGATTTTAAAATTCAAGGTTTAAATTTCATGTTGAATGAGGATTACAATCTTAAACTGTTGGATAAAGAAAGTGTTTTTATCTTGAGAGTTTTATTCATTTTGCTCTGAAATGATACAGACTCCGTTGCCACGGAGACGATGAAAAGTGTTCCGATATTGGGGGATTAATTTCTGAAACCAGATGGAAACGTTTTCATATTTCTGTGTTCATGCAGTACGGATCTTTGTTCTGATAACAACGACTTAGGTCCGTCCTCCTCTGCAAACCGTAGACACCTCTTCACCACCAGGTGTGTTCGAAGTCATAGTCCTCTAAAAACCCGGTCTACCTGGACTCGGACCCGGTCTACCTGGACTGGGTCCTTGAAGATCCGTGAAAATAAGGAAGACAGAATAGTTTAGCCATGGCTTCAAACAGGTCCAGCCTGCTCCGGCTTTCACCGCCCATTCCCTCTGTTGCCTAGCAACCATTACAGCTGCCACACAAAGCATGCAAAGAAAGGATGCTGAACTTCTCACACTGCAAAAAATGAACAGAAGTCATTTTGTTTTTAAAATAAGTGCATTTTGTCTTGAATTGAGGAGGTAAATAAAACACTATGCCAATGGAACAAGAATTAACATTTAAAATGAGAAAAGGTAATTGCATTGTCTTATTACAGACACGTAGCATCTAATTAACTTATTTTAAGAGTAAAAATACTTATTTAATTGGCACTTAATCTTATTTACCTACTAAAATGAAGTGTAAATATACTTGATTTAAGGAATTTTTACTTATTTCTAGATGGTTTTTGCAGTGCACCACTGTTCCTGGTGCTAATTACATTTATTTATTTTGGAGCTAATTAGCAAAGGCCAGGAAATGCATGGATTACATTTTTCTTCCCTTCACATTGGTAAAGAAGTTCTTTAGTTGTGTGTTTTAATAAAGATCCTTCCCTCCTAATGGAGTTGTTGTTCTCCGCTGATTCTTTCCATCAAATGTCTGTTTTATAAACGCCTTATTGGAGGGTGTTTTTATTAAAGAGAGGCATAAAAGAAAGTAGAAAAACAACAAAACTCCAAAATAAATCCAAGATCTCCTGTTTCTCTGGAATTCTCTCCCATCATGCCTTCAACGTTTCTCCTGAATCGTGCTCAGAGCTTTTATTGCTGGAGACGCTCTGCAGCAGACGGCTTGTCTGCAGACTTTTACCTTTTCAGTAGAACCTGGAGACACGTTACCATCACTCACTTTTTTATATTTGGATTAATAAAGGTGTTAATGAACAAAGTATAAATACTTCATTGCTTCAGTAGAAATCTCGGCTATCTATGCTTTACTTAAGTATTTCTTTATTTAGAAAACTTTTTCCTTCTATTCCTTAAATTTTAAAAATAACCTCATTAGTTTTGTTTCATTTAAGTAAATTTTCATTCTGGCCTGTTGGTATTTAAAACAAATAAAAACCATCAAAATATTTAGTTTCATCCAGACACTTAATTTCTTTGTGGTTGGACTCGGTGCTGCCCCAACTTGTTGCTCACTACCAACCAAAATAAATCCTTTATCAAGATGAAGCAAAGTTAAATGTGACACTGTTACTATTAGTTATAAAACTAAGAAAATTAAATCTAAGGAAGTTATCATCCAGAATGGTAGAAAAATGTTCCTTTAATACGGTAGAGCAGTAAAGTCAATGTCCTTAACAGTTTTTCCTACATTACTATGACTTTTATACTTGAAGTAGTTTTTTAAATGGTACTTTTATACTTTTACTGGAGTAAAAAGCTGCAGTTGATCCTCTAACTTCTATAAAAGTGTTTTTAAACAGCAGGATTTATACTGGAGGAATAAACATGAATACTGATTACAGAATATCTTTTATAATTATTCAGATATTCAAAAGATGAATTTAGAGAAGTTTGTTTTTTTACTGATTGTAAAATCACAGAAATGTGATTAGGCTGACTTTAACCCTTTCCGCCACTTCCTTCTCTGACTGTACATTTGGAAGTTATTTATTTCAGTGCCGCATCAGAGGCTCAGCTTGTTGTTCTTGTTTTTCCCTCTGCTTGTTGTTGTATATCAAGGATTGAGCAGTGCTAAGCCGGTAATAATCTGAGGAGCAGGGGGATTAATCCTTGGTGAGGGATGTTTCTTAGCTGCAGCAATTTGAGCATCCACTCAGCTGATATGTCTAGAGAGGCATGCTGGAGAGAAAATGACATCCGCCTGATTACGGCGGGTCCAGGGAGTCATG